ATCTTTAACGAGCCAAACCTGCCTCGGCGGTGGTGGTAGTGGCAAACACGACGCAGGTTCAGCAACTTCCACACACTTGGCTCATGTCGATACAAATACGTTGACCAGTCGTGCCCTGCAAACTCCCGGCGACTCGGCGCTTGATGAAGGGCACAAGAATAAGGGCAACAAGATTGCAGCGGTAGTTGAATCAAAGATGGCCGCTCCTTCTGCTCGGTACTCTCATTCCTCAGAAGGACTATTTGTCCATACATGCCTGGAGAGTTTTAAAAAGGTCTTGGAGGAGAGAAAACAACGAACCACCTTCCAAAACGCAGTCTGGAGAACACAGCAGAAAATGAAGGTAGCTCAGCTAGACGTTCCCACGTCAGGAGGTATGTTCTCTACGATTTGCTGTTGATGGTATTCTGCTGAGTATGTCTATGTATTCAGTTACTTAACATATCTAAAGTTATAAGTAAGCCAGGAGTAAGTATTGTCCATGTTACCTATGTTGTGTAGAGTGAAACTATGTCAAAACTTTGGCCAATCCACTTGCATTGGACCCGATCATATATTGAAAGGAAAAGGTTTAAAACCACAATACATTTTAGCTTAGTTCTTGTTTTTATATTGAATATCGGGGGGGGGGGGGGAGAATACTACGTTTGTGTTACACACTGCGTGATCCCAACTTTAATATCAACATTGGAAGGTTTTTTTTTTACTCTTGAGACCACAAAAAATCCTGAAGCACAAAATGTGATCTGGTTAGGACACTGCACTTGAAATCTAACGGTCGCCGGTTCGATCTTCACGACCCAATGGTTGAAACAATGTCGCGACGAATTGGTTCATCACAGTTCGTAGAAGGGTAGGCCAATTGCCCTCTGGAGCTCTCTATTGCGGAAGTCTTTCTAGCCAGCAGTGGCATGTGCAAGTAACTTGCAGGGCTGCACCTTTACCTTCGTTAGGTGAGTGGAGAGGGGGCTGACGATTCTCCAGAGAAACACAAATGATTATTCTGCTTTATTAGAGAAAGAGATAAGGCTGACAGCAGTTAAAGGCCTTTCAGCTGGCATCTTGGCATTGCTAATGAGGTTTAAATTGTAACCTCTCCGTTTTAATCTCGGTGAAAATAATTAAGGAAGAGGAGTGCCCCTTTCAGGTGTGGGTTGACCGGCCCAGTAATGTGGTGCATTGGGGCTGCAGTTTGAATGCCTTGATAGGACACATTTTTTGTAAGCACTAGTTCTCTTGGAGATATAATGTAACAAAAAAGCAGCAAATTACATTTGGCAATAAAACTTAAGATTTTAATTCGAGTAAATCTCAGAGGCTAAACATTAATTGTTGAGCATTTTTATACTAACTGCCGCGACTCAAGTTTTGAGGACAATTTCAGAGTGTCCCAGTCGTATTGGTCTCGGTCGATCGTGTCTTGCTGATGGGGCTGTGGCGTTCAGGCCACAGTAAACATTGTTTTGCCCAAAGAAATTCCGCTGGGAGGCATTTGTGTTAAAAGTACATGGGGTGCTAGATGAAACGTTATTCCCTCTTTAATATGGGGCAAGTCCCCTTTCCAGTTATTTTAGTCGCATTCGTAGAATCGCGTCGGTTTGACAGTTTTAGCTGTTTTCAGTTCACCCAAATATTGGAATTGCAACTTCGCTGGAAATCTAATTTTATTTTTACGCACATATAACATTCCTTTAAATGCAAAGAATGCTATCTGTGAGGCTGTATTCCAGTGCATAATGCAAGTTAATTAATTCGGTCACAAAAAACCTTAATTAAACAGACTAGCACGGGTATCTTGTTTGCACCGTGGAATTGATGAGTTTTATAGAAATCCCCCCGCGCTATAAAGGACGACGCAAATGGAACATCCATTAAAACCTAGCGAAGACTAGATAAAGGAATAAGACAAACATAAAACCACGAATTCCAAAAACATTTCGAGCGGAGAATTGTAAGTGGGCCTGCATGTCGCAACTGGCCTGCATTTACCCCCGACAATAGCATTGAATGAGGCAAGTGATGTGCATGTGTTCTTCCGAACTGAAATATTTCCTGCGCCCCACACATTTATTAAGTGAAATTATAAACCATTTTGGAAAAAAACTTGGGATGTTTTGTCCCATGACGGTGGCTTTAGTGGTGCAATTGAAAAAAATGCGTATGTTGAAAAATAATATAAATAATAAAAGAAGCACTATTATGCGGCACATTAGCAATTGAGCAGATGTCACCTTGCTTTTAAAAGAGGTCACTGTCTCGACATTGTACATTGTTGTCGTGTGAATAATAAATGTCAAAATATGGTCCATTTCAAGCGAGCTACATTCTCGTCTCACTGGGGTACGGTAGATATGTCACCTTTTTAAAAACATTAGTTTATGTCTTTTGTAGTCACATGTGGTTAATACCATGTGAAACAATTGCACACCAATGCGGTCACAATGGAGATGATGACACTTTTATAATGATACTCCGGTTATTGTAAGTGACAACTAGCTTGCTGCTGAAACAATAGTACAGCAACAGATAAGGTGCAGCCCTGCAATTAGCCTTCTCACGCAGCTTTGGCCGGCAGAAGGGCCTTCACGAAAGGGAGCTCGAGAGAGTCGCTCTAGGGGGGCTCGGATGTCTTGGGAGATCCTGGGATCTATCCCACACTTTGCCAGACCACACGGGGCCTGAATGATCGTACTAACTTTGCTCGACCCATTTGCGTCCCTGGGTGGACAGAGGTGTGAGGATTTAAGAAATTCTCACCACCGTAGTTTTCAACTCCCTGAGCCAGCCGGGAGATAAAACCGGTGACCGCTGGCACGCAAGTCCAATGTAGTTAATCATTGCACATTAGCAGCATGAAGGTAACTGTGTTCCTATAGGTGAATAATCATCATTTGAGTACCTAGTCAATTGTAAATATATAAATGTGTAGTGTCATCTATAAAGATATATACGGTATACACACATATAGCTTTCGCAGAGCGTTACTACGATACTATGTTTTTCTGTTGGGCTCCATTGCATTTATATTTTCTCTTAAGATTCTTCCTTGGTTGCACAAGAAGGATCGTGGCAATGTATACCTAAATGCACGTTGTGTTTTTGTGGCTGGGTAGCTTTACAGGATACTTTGCTCAGAAGCGAAATTGTATGGAGTTGATTGGTTTTTTTTTGCAGGGAATTGTCAGTCGAGTCTGTGACGTACGGGAAAGTAGTGTATTGCGTGACCGTTTCAGAACACAGCTGCCTCTGAGCAACTCAAACTTTCCAGTATTCTCTTTAAAAAATATTAAATCAAACTCTTGAGCCTTTTGACCTGGATGTTTAAAATAACGCTGAAATATAATTTAAATGCCTGTGTGTGTATAATACCATGTACATATATGTGCTTGTACAGACTCTGTATGAACATTATCTTTGCTCACGAATATTCTAAGCTTTCAACCAAAACTAGCTTCTCGGTCAATATTTTATTTCCCCGGTCAGCGTTTTACAATTTTACGGTCTTCTTGGCCTAACAGCTTCATAGAGATATATATTGTTATCTATGGCAACGTTTGTCCCTGGAAATCACAGGCAAGAGGAGGATTTGCTCTTATCTGCTTACACATATTGGGTGCACAAAAGTAGAAGACCAGATATTCTTTTAGAATTCTTTATTTTCTAGGAATGTTGACACTATATTTCAACAGCACAAAGAAACAAAGTCATGTCACATTAAATACATCTCACTTGATAGGGGTCCCATCCCTGTTGCATTGTTTTTTTCATTTGGACACGTGCAAAAGGAAGAGTGGATAAAAACATATTGCACGTACCATATTACTTGTGTCCTTTTGACCAACCCTCACTTGATTCACGTGAAACAAGTTATAATAAGAGTAAATATATGGCCTTAGAGAGAAAAGCTGCAAATTATATTTAGACTAATGGTCTTCTCACATCAGATGAGTTTATGACACAAATACCTGGATTTGCGCTTCACTTAATAATTGGTTCATAATAAGTACCAGTTGTGACTTGTCAAAGTTTGCATTTTAATAGTGTGCCTTGAGTTGAGTGCAAGACTGATGTTCAGTTTTGGTTGCCGTCCTTGTCATGCGCGGTGGAGTGGCCCGCGTTCGCCGCTCGTCGCGGAGTTCCTCACGTGTCGAATCCAGCAAGCGCCCCAGGGTCACACTGCGGTGTGTTCTTCTGAACCGTAAACATGCAGCCTTCACAGTGGCTGTTAGCGATCGCCCATGCGCAAGAGAAGGCCCATTGGTTGCCGGGCGTCGTTGTCCTCATGTGTACGTTTTACCTCGCAAGCTCCTCAATTGTAATTGGCGTAGCAATCATTGCCCCCTACTGCCAAACCTTGGCAGGACCCTCCTGAAAGAGAGTCGTGTGACTCAGTCTTTTCTGGGTAAATGAGTGGAGTGAATAAATACATTTACATACAAAAATGTCCTTTGGCTGTACACTAAGCTCATTTGCAATGGGTATGTTTTCCTGCAATTCACTTGCCTTGTATTTTACCTTTCGCCAGAAGGTCCAGAGTGTGCTGCACTGGATCACCAGGTTATATTGATATATGTGCTGCTGTGGCATCTGTTGTTCGTGACCTCTTGAGCACATTGTGATTGCATCATTGCTCTCCTTCATTTAAAATCATCTCATTCCGCTTAAGAATATGTAACGCTCCCCACCCCAAACCTGATGCACCTTCCTGATTCACCGATTTTCAACGTGCTCTGCAACGGCATTGGCGAAGGGCTTTCGTTATTTCTTAAAGCGTTATTAACTTTGTTTCAATTATGTAGGTCATATTCAACATCGAGGTTTATAAACACACATTTCTCAGCATTTTGAACGTGCTTGCAAATGTTTATAGACAGAATGGTGATGACATTGTTCATTTTGGTATATACATTATCCTTGAATGTGTGGTGTGTGTACACGCTTGCTATGTTTATCAGAAGCATAATGCAATGGGTTTTTGGTGATATACCTTTGGTCTGTAGGCCCGGATGGCTGATGGAAGCGGAGACCTTCAGAAGCCTGGTTGGTTCAAGGGAACAGCAGGGTAAGTCTACAACAAACATTACATTTTGTATGGAAATCAGCCAAGAATCGCTGTACTGGCATAATGCTGGCTTCCCGTTAATGTTGGCCTCTCAGTTTTTTAATCCGATATTTCTTCGTTTATTGAAAACGGTAACCATCACAAAACTCATTTGGGTTACAAATATTGTTATTTGCAAAAATAACGATTGGTTGGTTACATTTGGAACTTAAATGAACATGTCTGGGTTCGTGATTAAAATATCACGTGCAATAAAGGTAGTTAATGTAATGTGTTGGCTGTTCCTTCTTTACACCAGGACATGTTGTTATTCTCTAATAGCGATGCCAGTTTTTCCATTGTAATTTAAGTTCACCTGCCTATTTGCATTGCGTTGACTTACAGTAACCCCATGTGCCTTTGACATAAATCTTCAAAAAGGTTTGAAAATATTAAATACAACTTTTGTATATGTAAAAAAGAAACTTGGAGCCGCTGTGTTCCATGCTTGGAATGTGTTTAAGCACAGCGCCAAGATGAGCGGACTTGGGCAGCGCCACATTGAGACTGAGCCGTTAGCGTGTCTAATGTGGCAAGCCGACACTTCAAAGGGCGGACGTGACACTCAATTATCCAAACGTCACTCCCAGTGAGCTGCCCAATGCTGTGTCTGCACTGCTCAGGATGGGCTTGTTTGAAGGCATTAAAAAAAATAAAGTCTGCGCGCAGCATGGATCGTCTGTTCAGCATTAGCATCTATATTCACGTTTGCCTCTTCTGAAATGTACCTTTTTAAAAATGAGAAAAAATTATTTAAGCACTGATTTCTTTTATATATATTTAACTTTGCGTACATTTACATTTGTTTGCACATGTGGCATTATATGTATGTTACAGGTAACATATCCAGGTTTTAAATTAATATAGTACACAATTACTAACTATTCACTATTTTTATTTTACCAGGTAAGGCCCACTGAGCTAAAAAGCTCTTTTTCAGAAACGACCTGACCACAGCGTTTCCTTATTTGGAACAATGGCATGTGTTTCTCTGCTAGATTAGTTCAATCCACGAATGTTTGTTCGCCTCATAAGTTTTTTAATATATCACCGCAATCCGAGTCAAAAAGCACGTTGAAGCAATAATAGACCCATGCATTGTCCAGTATGTTCGATCGTTGGTCATAGTTCAAATGTAGACTTTTAAAGTTGCTGGGTTTGTGGTGACAAATGTTTGTAAGTTTTTCACGTTCCCATGATGGTGGTTGTATTCGCTCGATCGTGGTCCCTTCACCTCGCGGTCGTCTCCTCTCCAGCCGCTCGTTGCCTCCTCCTCCAGTTTGCTGCATTGTGCCTGTGTTTTTTGCAATGTGCCAGTTTGTTAATATTGCTGTTTTGTATATTTTTTTAAATCACTGTTTTTGCCTGAACCTCTGACGCGTTCTGTTCTGTTGTTGCCTGTTCCTTTGTACGGATCACTCTGCCGTTGTTGTTGTTCTGTGCCGATAGCACCACGGACCTCCCTTGCAAACTCTAGTTGGGTAACAGAATAAATAGGACATTCCGTGCAACAAGTAAACATGTAATTGATTGATGTACATATAGCAATTATCAAGCGGTTGGATGCAACTATAATTTCAGCTGTTTTGCATTGTGACTCTGATTAAGTGCCCACCTGCCACACTGTTCAATGTCCCTGCAGCCGAGAGACGCCGCTCGTGTTCGTGGAGGTGCTCTGTGCAGAAGCGTCAATAGGATTGAGTCTGTCGGTGGATGTGCTGTAGCTTTGCTATATGTATTTTCGCAGAATTTTCCAGTCTTAAAATGGCTTGCAGCTGACCATAATCTCGTTTTAATTCCTTTAATGTTTAAAGTGAGCTCTGCGATGACACGTCCTTGCGCAGTATTTTCCACAGAAACGGCTGGGCGTGTTTTCTGAATCTTTTGATGAGAGTGGCTCCCAGGAGCAGAAGCACTGCGACAAGGCCTCAGTGCATTCATCTCTCCACCAGAAACTCTCTGCAGCTTATTCAGGACTCAGGATTGACACAGTGTGTGGCCATTTAGAAGACAATTAGTCCAGTGGTGCAACCCTGCATTCTGGCAGTGTAGAGGCAGACAGTTACACAGGGCTGGACGGTGGACAATTAGACAACAGCACAGCAAGTAGGTTTCTGATCTATCAGCACATTGTTGGTGTTTTCCCTTGGTTTCCGTGTAGATTCTCCTCTTGCTCGCACACAACTGAGGCTTTCACGGACAGATGGAGGGGCATTTAATTGGGTGCAGATCGTGGTCAGCAAATAGAGGTTTACAGAAAATGATCTGAACACTGGAGATTGCATTGATGAGTAAATAACTGATAAGCATCAGAACAAGTGAACCATATATATATTTATTTTCAAAATAAGCCTTGAAGGTTAAATTTCATGGATGTAGAAGCCCAGAATACAGCAAATGGAGAAACATGTTTTGGTGATGTAATTATGAGGAACTATAGTGAATAATTTGGCTCGTCTTATTGTATTTGCTGATTACTCTCAAAATAAAACCAGTGGTATACAATGCAATACTCTAAAATGTAATGGTATGCATAAGCTATTAATACTGATTTGTAATTTGATAAATAGACGATGGAAAACGTATTACATACAATTAATCTAAAATAATCTGTATGAATATACATCACTGATTTTTACGGTCACCCCTATTCAAGCAGCATTACATTTTGGTTTGTTGTCCTTTCCCCGCACCTCTGATTAGCACGGTTGGCTACGTACGGTGCGAAAGAAGTTCAACGTACATCCGACATGAGTATGCCCTCTTGTGTACATGGTTACCAACAGTCCCATGACACTTCGGGGACGCTGCCAAACCAACCTCGTCTAGGAGAACCTGGTTTAGTAGCTGGAGACACTTTGACGAGTCACGGTCATTTTATAAATCTCACATGACTCAACCTTGCTCGGGGTAGGCTGGGATATTGATGGTGCAATCCCCATGGCTCTGGTTATACAATTCAGTAGATATCAGTGCAGGAGATAAAAACACACATGTTTTGTGAACAGGAATGCCAAGTCATTACTCTACATGTTTTGTGAACTGATTTTATGGCAACAATTGGGGAACTTTTTTCTTGTTTTTGACTGCCTTCCTTGGATGTTGTTGTCTGGGTTGTACTAACAATGGCGTGATTGCAAATGGGAGGGGGGCGTTTTGACCTGCTTGTGTGTCCTCCTTTTAGGCCAGATGGCGGGCTGTATGGTATCGACAGCATGCCCGACTTGCGCAAGAAAAAGCCCATTCCCCTTGTTAGCGATTTGGTGAGGCACCCCCTCCCCAGCGCCTCTCCGCAGCCTCCTGCCCCTCCTCCACCCATACTGGGAAATTAACCATGGTCGCCCGAGCCAAGTTTCAAACAAGTTTTTGGGCTCAACGCTTTCGCTCACTTAACAGAACTACTTTGTTGGTATGGAATTCACGGCCGGTTGTTATTCACTTTGCTCGCATGGTGCAGGGTCCATGAGAAGCTGTGCCGGTTGTGATCCCATCTACGCAGCAAGTAGTGCTAAATAACCTCTGTGTATATTTCCAACAAATTACACATTTTCTTAACTTTTCACAGATGCTCAATACCTTGCTATTGCCTAATTGCCCGGTGCTGCCCTGGTCAGCCAACACGTTTCATGCACCACGTAACTTCTTAAACGTCTAAATTCTCAAGTGGGAGATTTTCTTTTTCCTTTGGAGATTAAAGTAAATCGCCTTGCATCTTTATTCGTAACGAGCACCCAACATCTCGACTGCCGTCACAAAAGCGAAACCGTTCTGCCTTGCGCAAGGCGCGCGTAGTTCTCGAGCGTGGGCGAGAGTGGCGTGATCCCGAGGACTGGATTTAAAACTTGCGGCAGCACGCATGGTTAACTTCAACCCCTGGCCACGGTGCTGCTGCTGCGGTGGCGAGGAAGCGCACGGTGTCCGCTCCTGCCTGCCTTGTGCTCATTCCCCTTCTCTCCCTTCCCCTGCTCTTGGGTCTCTCCCTCTGTCTGCCCAAAACCAGGAGAGCGGCTGTTAAGTTCTTGGATAGCATTGACAGTATGCCTGACATTAAGCCCCGACGTAAATCCCTTCCTCTGGTCAGCGACCTGGTGAGACTGACTGTGCTATTGGTTGTTCGGCCACCTGAAGTTCATTTGTATTGCATGCCCATGTCTCGTCTATTTTAAGCCACGTGAGTGCAGACTCCTGTTGAGCGCTTTGCTCGCAAACCTCATTGGGGGTTGGGGGGGGGGCAAGATCTGGCTTGCCTAAAATGGACAGGTCGACTTTTATATTCTTGGTTCTTTCGGTAAAGTCACGTAGAAGGGAAATAATAAAATAATATTAATATAAAACAATAAAAATTCTCACGACGTTTCGACTGCAACACAAGCAATCATCATCAGGTGTGAAATCCACAGCAAGAAAATTTAATGATGATTGCTTGTGTTGCAGTCGAAACGTCGTGATAATTTGTATTGTTTTATATTTGTATTATTTTATTATTTCCCTTCTACGTGACTTTACCGAAAGAACCAAGAATATGAATCCCTACAGTCACGAAAGCTTTAAATCAAAATTTAGGTCTACTTTTGTTTTTGCTAATTAGTTTAGGGTTTTAATTTGCTGTGGGCTGTACCTGAAATTTGGATGAGTGCTTCTTTTGACTGCGATTGGCCTTGTTGACTAATTTCAGGTTCATTTTGTTTAACCAGGTGAGACCTCAATAGGCCAGGATAGTGTCGTTCATAAGAGTGACCACAGTCACCAAAATGAAAATAGGCTATCTGGTACTGCAGCATATGACCACATACTTCAGTCTACATTGATCAAACCGTTACATTTGGTCTTTTCTAATTCAGCACAGATTATTACTACTATGCATAGAGATGCACTTCAGTCTACGAATATATTATTTGTGCAACAATGGGGTGGGGGGGGGAATACGCTCATAAATCTAAAGTAGCATGCCCGCCCTTGGCACGTTGCCTATGGCAGGCTCGTTGCCTGCATCGAGAGGGTGTTTTGCATGCGCACTTGGCTGCTAATGTGGCTTCAACTGGTCTCCAGTCCGCTGTGATGTGTGCGTCACTTCACCTTATTCCTTGGTGCCGCATTTCACCGCGTCCCACCGTGCATGCCTCTTGATGAGCACGATGCCCACGTTGTTTCACGACCAATGGGTCCGTTGGAGGCGGAGCCAACTCGCTGACATAATTAGAATGCTGTCCCATAGCAGCATGACTCTCCATCTCCTGCTTTCTTTTCTTACCTACTTTCATCTATATGTATGCTCACAAAACTAAAATGTCACCTGATGAGTGTGTTTTGTTGTGCCCTTAATAGAGATTTAGCCCTAATGCTGAGCTATATTCTGGTTCGGTGTAGCTTTTCTCATTGACCACATATAAAAACTGTGCACTGTAGACCCAGTGGGTTACATACTGAATGATTTTTCCGTTATGAAATGGATAACTGGTTGGTTAGTTCACAGTGCCCAAACTAGTTGACAAAAATGCCCCAAAATAGGTTAAACCAGAGTATATTAAACTGCATTAATATGCATATTTAATTGCACTAAGTGTTTTGGTACTTCAGTTTATTTTTAAATGCTTGATTGAACTAAACGTTATACATGTTGCTTAGCGGGTTCAGGACTGGTGTGCATGATGTAAGATCGATGTCCTTGCAATAGTCGCAGTGGAGAGTACATGTACCGCTTTACTCACATGCAATAACATATTGTAATTTTTTTGTATGCAACCATACCATGAACTCAGGCAATGGTAAGTGTGCACAATGTTTTTCATAACTAGAATTAAGTTATTTCTTTCTGTGGGTCAAAAGGTTGCCAATTTACTAATCTTTTCTTGTGGAATTTTTAAGTTTCAGGTTTATTGGTTTTCATTTTTATTCTTCAAAATATGAACACTGGTCTATTTCTCCGAATTGTACATTTTTTTGCCAACATGTTTAACCTCACGGGATCCTGTAATTCTTACATCTGTCTTGTGCAGATTTTGGTTGGTCGCTCCTGGTACTTATGGTTAACATGAATGAAAGTCACTTAACAAGTAGCTTTTCACAGTCAGTATTATGATTCATAATTATTTTTGGGTTAGGCCACGTAACGATCTGTACGTGAATGTTATATTTGTTTGGGAGAATTGTTCTGCAACTTACCAGCGAGCCGAGACAAAGATAATTGCCACATTTAAACGCTTGCCAACACCACGTGGTGACAACTCAGTTTTTTTTGGAGATCTTCACGACACAATGTTGGCCACATGTGGCTTTCCCCAAAAACACAATTATGAATCCTCAATGAAAGTAAACATTTACTTGGTGACCACTTCCTTGGTTTTTTGACGTTCATCACCATGTGGTAATAACAGTGAAATTCCTCACTTGTCACGTGTGGCTGTCGGCTGATTCAACTTTCCTTCTGCAGTCCATTGCAGCCATGCAGAGGAAAGCAGGCCTGGCCTCGGCGTTGGCCTACAGGGCTTCTCTCAACGATGAGGACTTGGTGAGCACATTCCATCATAATTCCCCATGGCCAATACAGTTTGGTGAAGGATGGCTGTTGTCTCTATGAGGGCAGAGTCACACTAAATATATAAACTATACCCATGTGTTTAATCATGCAACGTTGAAAGCCAAAAGCTAATTTTGATGAAGCATTACATCGAAAGAACAAAAGAATAAGAAGCATTACATGTGAAATTAAGCTATGCAAGTTAGACGTGGATTGCACAAATGTGCCATCAAATGCCTGTTGACCACATTGTTGTGCTCTAGAAGGCGCATGTCTACAAAAAGGCATTGCAAGCCCTCATCTATCCCATCTCCTGCACCACTCCGCACAACTTCGAAGTGTGGACGGCCACCACCCCCACCTACTGCTACGAGTGCGAAGGCCTACTGTGGGGCATCGCACGCCAGGGCATGAAGTGCAAGGAATGTGGGGTCAAATGCCACGAAAAGTGCCAGGATCTCCTCAATGCAGACTGCTTGCAACGTGAGTGGACCTTCAGAGGGATTATCCTGACCACGTTATTTTATTCCGGAAAGTTTATGGACAGTGTTTTTTATTTTATTTGTGCAGAACTCAGGAAATCCTCGAACAATATTCACAGGACAAATTAATTGTGTGCCAAATCATGACCAGGTTTATGAAATTATTTGTAATTGTTAATTACACTTTCGTGAATGTTTAAGTGGGTTAGAGGCTAGTGTCCCGTGGCTATCTTCATCAATATTGACCCAACTGCTCTACGTGATGATGGTAATTCTGGTGTCATATCTTCATGTTTAGACTTTATGTACCAACTTAATTCGTGATTATTTTTACTTGTGACATTTTGGTGATTTCACTATTAATCTGAGTACATAAACCTCCCCTTATCCATGACACAACTGTGTGTGTGTTTTACCGTCGGTGGCTCCTCTCTACCTGCAAAATTGCATATTATAGGAATGGACAACCTTCAGATAATGGGAATAATCACTGATCAGACTGATCCAGCAGGAAACAGGGGTGACGCTTTTGATGGGCTAAGCTAAGGGGAATTATACACACAAGGCATTGCATTGCCTGCTCATTCTATTTCCAATTCTGTCAGGATAGAAGAGATGCAATGTGCCACATCCCAGTATTTAATGAATACTGTTTGTTTACTGTTGGCTTGCTAATGGGGATGTTTGATGTAATTAAAAATCATTAAGTTCACATTCTTAGCAAAGTAACAAGCATACTGCCTTGTAGACTTAATGAGATTACAGTATTCAAATATTTAAAAAGGTTAACCTCTTTAAACAATTACAATAATAAAGCTAATCAAAGTTAAAATGCATTCTTTAAACAAATACATTATTTCATAAATAATGAAATTATCTTAATATTAAAAGAAAGAGTTTTACAGATGAACTTGCTTTGGCCTGATCTCAAAAGCTGAAAAAAAACTCAACACATGTTTCAATAACACTGCCATACAGATACAAAAAAATCAAGTTATTGATGACATTTCAGACAATGGCCCTCCTTCATAGCACATCCTGATGAACAGTTTTTGTTATAAAATTGGAGGCAGTTGTGTTTGATGTGGACTAGCAGGCTTTGCTTAGGTTATCGCACAATAGGTCATCACTGAGTATTCTTGCCCCAGCATAAAGTTAATCTTGTGTGTCAGCCCAAGAATACCTGGCATTGTGTCACAGCAAATTACTTTTTTAGTATTAAAGATAGCATTCTGTGAAGCATTGTACAGGGCCAGGTGTGACATATGTGGTGCCGTGCATGAACAGAAATGTTTGTTTGCCAAGGGGGCCACCGATGGTGCTGGGGTAAGCAGGGAGGGGTGCAGGTGGCCTCTGTTTGTGTTTGTTTTTCTCTCTCTGTCTTTTTCGCTGTGTCTCTTTCTCCATTTGTCAAGCTTTGGCACTCCTTATATTGTTGGTGTCCTCAAATCCCTGTTCCCTGGGTAGGCACCCTGATCACCCACCCCTTTAGGCCGGGCCTGGTATAGACCGTAAAGACCCTGTAACAATCTGCTATGAATAATGTTTTAACCTTGGAATCAAAGCCAGAATTAGTCAAACGTACCCTCAATTATATATGAAAAACATTATTTATATAATTGTATTAATTATATATATGTAGATATTATTAATCATCTACAATTACAAAAGTATCACATTTCTGGCTGGGTGGCATAGTGGAAGAGCCATAATAGAGGTTTTTGCGTTAGAAGAGCGCTTGACTCAAAACTAGACGGTGCAGATCTTCACGAAGGATTATTACCTTGGCCTATTATCTATGCCGGGAAGATAAAATGAGAACCTTTTGTGAGAATTCAACAGTTGTCTTGGGAAATACAGACCTTCATTGAGAAATTGAAATTGTGATCACTGGATAAAGACTTTCATCAGAGATGAGTATTTCCCAACGCTTGCTTAAGCATTGAGACACTTAAAATGTGATAAGTAAATTCGTTGATTGATTGATTCATGAATTGACTGATTAATTTTGCAATAAATGTTTATTGACTCTGTCTCTTGCTCTTATAGGCGCCGCTGAAAAGAGCTCGAAGCACGGGGCAGAGGACCGCACGCAGAACATTATCATGGCCATGAAGGATCGCATGAAGATCCGCGAGAGGAACAAACCTGAGATCTTTGAGCTGATCCGAGAGGTGTTTTCGGTGGCCAAGCAGGCCCACGCCCAGCACACCAAGTCCGTCAAGCAGAGCGTGCTGGACGGCACTTCCAAGTGGTCTGCAAAGCTCACAATCACTGGTGCGTGACTCCTTAAAGGACAGAATGAGGGGAAAACATGGATGAGAGAATATCCAGTTCAAACTGCGAGGATGAGTAAGTTAGCTTGGGTAGAACGTATCAACAGAAGGGATCATAGCTGTTGGGTTAGGAATAATGACTGAGTGGCAGCCTAGGAATGGAACGCTCCTGTGCAGGTGGCAAGGTGGATTGTTACATCGCATGATCGTGAGCGGGGGTGGGTTGACCAAGACTGATGATAATCGTGATGACTCTTTGAGGCCGAGCCAAGAGAGTTGCTGGCCCCGTACAGAACATGTGCAATGTCTGTCTGGAAAATAATGTGTGGGCCTGCTTGTCATGTTTAGCATAAAGTACTTTTCTTGCCAATAATCAACAGAAAAAAATTGGTTTAGAAATATTATGAGAATTTTTGCATTATGTTGGTGGTAACTACCTTTCTGCTATTGCATTAATTAGACCCTGGTGTGGTTTATGTAATGCGGTTAAAATGTCACTCAGCCTTGATTGATACAATTAAAATACATAATAAAATGATTGGAAAATGTTAAATTGAATGACAGACAATTAAATGAAAATTTAATTCCGTCAAACCTTCGATGTTTTAAGGTAGATTTCCAAACATTAAAATCTCTGCTGCATTAGGACCCTGCTGGTTCCCATCATGGCAGGGTATTCCCCACAAGTATCTGCTATACAACTTTCACATTGCATATCTTTTCCAAATCAGTGCTTGCCTAGTATCTTGCTTGTTATTTATTTTTTCTCATCCGATATAATCTCACTATTCATCCATATATTTTGTGAAGTGAGACTTTTGCATTCTTGTACCCTCATGTACTTTGTCTTTGGTATCTCCAGTCGTGAGTGCACAGGGTTTACAAGCCAAAGACAAGACAGGTTCCAGCGATCCGTACGTCACGGTGCAAGTTGGAAAAACGAAGAAACGGACGAAAACCATCTATGGCAACTTGAACCCTGTGTGGGATGAGAAATTTCATTTGTGAGTTTTTAAAGCACGCGGTTTTTGTGGCTCACAGTATTAAAACCTGTAACGCTGTGTTTTCAAATTACACTTCGAATTAAAGTACCCATGTTTGGTAATGATAACACAAAAAATACATTTAAGCCTACAATTCTATGTTGACAATAATTATATATGAAAAATGTAAACTTCAAAAAAATAATACACGTGAGGGCTTTTTTTAGCTCTTAAAGTAAGCTCAGTATATTTCATGTTGAAGATTGCAAGCAGTAGGGGATACGAGCACTGAGAAATGAGCTATGAGGCATCAGTCTTGAATTTGAGTCCCACTGCTGCTGCTTTGTATTCTTTTTTAAATACCTTTCAAAAATAAATAAACTGGTAAAATGTTATTACAGTTGGCCTCTATCATAAATGTTCATGGCACGGCAATCAAAACTGGGTTTTTTTGTTCAATTCTCATAGCTGAAATTTTGCCAATTCAGGAAAAAAAGTACATTTAATATGATTTTTTTTGTACAGTGAGTAGTTTCTAGGCTGAAACCATCAAATGTGCCACAGACAAGAACGTTGGTTTAATCAGAAGTGACAGAAAACTGTACTTGATCCCAAGATCTCAGTGGTGTCTGCTCAGGTGGCCTCTGACTCCTATCCCACCTGGCCACCTCTACCTATACAAATTAATCATACTTTACCATGAATTTCCACCATTATTTTTGCCCTGTGTAGTAAAAAAAAGAGTAACCAAATGTACGGCAGCAGCAGTTGTAATCAAATTTGCACAAAATTCCTGCGCGAGAATATGTAGTCTCCTTATGAAGCACTATTTTCCAAGTAATCCTTTCTCATATTAAACAAAGCTGTGCATTCCCAGTCAGAGCCTGGGAATTTATTTGTATCATCTTTTCATCACTTAAAAAATTGTGTGCTTTCCAATTTCAAAGCATTTTAGGAGCAGTCTGTACAAAATGCGTTGATTCAAGTTTGTTTTGACCTTTTGGAATAGTTTCTCTGACAGCTTAAACTATCCCATTGTAATTACGTGCACTTGTATTTTCACGTTGTTTGTTTTCATGCAGTTACAATAATAATGCAATTTATAATGGGCATAATTTTATTTTCCGCGGCACGTGACTATGGCCGGGGCTCTTGAGGTGGCAAAGCTAAACTTGGCGTCGCTCACAATCCTGGAGCCAGAGACCATTTAAGTGTCTCTTAAAAGTCAGCGTGGGTTGAATTCTGCGAATTGTACGTCAGTTTTGAAAAAAGGAAAGAGCATTACTATGGCAGTGGCATTTAGTGCATTATATATTTATTTTTCTTCCAAAATGGCTGACAGAAAATCGTAAAATGCCCTAGAAACCCTATATTTAAAGGTGCACAGCATCTAACAACCCGATGTTGACTTGGGCATACCAGGTCCGTTTTCCTGCCTGTCAATGCTCTTTGGATGCTAACAGCCTATGAATTATCACATTCAGCAATTATTCGCTACTACGGTTTTGGCAGCGAGGCATTATTAATCATTTGAGATGATATTTTCAGGATGGGGAAGGGGGGTGTTGTTTTAATGTTTCTGTAATATTTTCAATTGTACATTAAAGTTGCCTTTGAGCATCGGGTATGCCAATCAGGATTGACTTCCTTAGCTTTTGACTAATAAGGTTTTTGAATATATAATTTTAGAGTAGATTAATGTGAGCACAGCTGTATGTCTCCTCTTCTAAACGCTAGCATGTGTGTTACTTGAGACATACCTAAAACGAGCTTCGCATATTGTGAGATATAATTACAGAGCCGAGCGAAATGTAATCCACGTGCGTTTTTATTCACGCGATGGGCAATGGACACCAACATTTTTCAGAACAGTTCTGACAACGGAGGAAATCGTGTGTCCTCCTCCTCCTCCCTGTGCCCACGCAGCGAGTGCCACAACTCGTCGGACCGAATCAAGGTGCGCGTGTGGGACGAGGACGATGACATCAAGTCGCGCGTCAAACAGCGGCTCAAGCGGGAGTCGGATGACTTCCTGGGTCAGACGATCATCGAGGTCCGCACGCTGAGCGGCGAGATGGATGTCTGGTACAACCTCGGTACGCAAACGCACTGCACTGGCACAGGATTCTGCTGTTTGTGTTTAGTTTGTATGTATGTTGAGCTTCTTTCGCGGCCTACGTAGCACCTCCAATTGGCATGGTTGACTACGTACGGTCCGAAATAAGTTCAACATGCATTCTCTAAAAGAAAATATTGCACTCACAAAGTGATATATATTTTATCAACCCCATAGGGATGATGGGCTGACTCAATTCTCATCCTGGAGTTGAACTCGCAATCTTCCGCGTACAAACTGCTTGCTCTGCCGTTTAAAAAATATGACATTGCTCTTCCAAAAAATATGACACTGCGCATTGCACAACTGGTCATCACCATTAAAACATAATCCAGTTTCATTTCACCCCCCGTGCAAAGTGAGTCGACTACGATTTCTCACTTTACCACTTACTATATTATATTAGCAGCCTCTACCACTGCTTTATGCCTATTGTAAGATGTTGCTAATGTAAGATTTTGCTATTGTAAGATGTTGCTAATGCAAGATGATGCTATTGTAAGATGTTGCTAATGCAAGATGTTGTGCTGGTTGTGCACAGTTATGTGTTGTTTACTTGTTTTATCATTGTTGTGGCGTTCTATTATTTGATTATGCAATAATTTATAATGCTCGTTGAGCAATTAAGACATTTCTCTAAGGGGACTTGCAGTCCAGAGGTCACCGGTTCAATTCCTCAGCATCTCGGCTGCAACAGTGGGCAGGTGTCTTCAATACCGCCCCCACCCCTAGAGCCTCCTTGTCAACCGAGCAGTAATAAGGGGAATACCACAGTGAGTCGATTGGCAGATCACACGGGGTAGGGGAAAAGTGTGGCTACTCGTACCTTTCCAAGTCGTCTGGCGAGCATGGACGGTGGGAGATGGGACCAGTGGCACAGTGGTTAGTTGACGGCACTATGCACCTGGCGTCCTAAGTTCGATTCCCAGCCACGGCTAACATCAGTGGCGAGTGATGTCCGAACCAGTTCTGTTTAATCAACTGACACTAACCAGCTTGGTGAAGTATGGTCAAACAAATCCCTTGACCCATACAGAGTGGACAGAACTTCATTGAGTAGTAGCATTACAAAGTGCTGTAATGTAATAGTATTGTTATTTACAGTGGAAATGTATAGTTTAATGTTAATAACTATCAAATCCATTCATATTAACTAACACAAGAAAATTCATTCGTGAGCTCTGTCCAAAATCATAATGCTCAAAATAGTCACAAACACGTAAGGGGGACAGTCGGCGTTGATATCGAGGTACCTATCGATACAATTCAGTTGCTAGGTTCTGTTACTATCCCTTCTCAAATGTATCTTCTGTTATACCATAGGGCTAATTGGTGTGTTGGAACAGATATTAAACTATAAAGTATCTCCATACATTTTTACTGAAAACTTTCGTGACTGCAGGAATTCATAATAATAATGTTTTTGTTTATCTACGTGACTTTACTGAAAGAACCAAAGTCTACATACACTTCATGTTCAGTTCTTACAATGCATTGGTCACCGCCTGTATGCAAGCCTAAGGCTGGGACACAAGTAAGAGCAAACAATGTCCATGTTCTCCGAAGTTGGTGACGCACATGGCCTCAAGCAATGTGTACACAAGCACCATGAATTAAATCATAATACAGAGAGATAAGTTTAATTGTTTAAATGAGACAACTGACTTCAAATGTATAACGTAATGGAATTAATTAGGTTTCATTGTCGAATGTGCCTTTCCCTGGCAACGTATGTAATGTAGGTCAGCCACTGATTTTATTAAACCTAAAAAAATGTTCGTAGTTGCTTGTGCTGTAAAACCTCTCAAATCCAAACAAGTATACCGGAATTTGGGGTAAGCCACATAGGCTATCGAAATCTAGATATAAATAACCAAAGCACTCAAACTGCAACACTGTTTAAGTGCTAATTGAGCTGCACGTGGTAGAATGTGATGTTCTGTCGTCATTCCCATTGCATCATTCTACCATCAAGCTCTCATCTAACCATGTGTAGGAAATTCTACTTACACTTAGCAGTAGAAAGTATAATGGGCTGCCAATTGTAATATATATTTCTAAAGCTATATAGTGATCTGTTGTATGGAATTTAGTGAATTATTAAGCCCCCTTTGTTTGTAAAGTTCCTCAGTAGGCTGCGCTCCCTTATTTACAGCTCACGTGAAATATAAGATTGGCAGCCGAATCAAAGCGTATGTATGTACGGTGAAATTCTTTCGCACCGTACGTAGCCAACCCTGCCAATCGGAGGAGCGTGCGCATCATGGCTGACATATACAGTTCAGTTTAACATGTAGGCTTCCGCGACCAATATTATCCATAATAAACGTTTTTGGGTCAGATCGCGTTATTTATAAATGTGTCGTAACCCTCCACCACCCGACACGGCCAATCAGTAAAAAAGTGTCACGTTGACAAAAGACAAATAGGTCACTGCTTTAGCCCACCGGTGTGTTGAAGAGTGAATCCACAACATTTACAATTTTTGAGTACGATGCTGGATGTAATTACCAGCGAAACATCGTACTCAAAAATTGTAAATGTTGTGGATTCACTCTTCAACACACCGGTGGGCTAAAGCAGTAAACTATTTGTCTTTTGTCAACGTGACACTTTTTTACTGATTGGCCGTGTCGGGTGGTGGAGGGTTACTACACATTTATATATAACGTGATCTAACCCAAAAACGTTTATTATGAATGTACAGTTCAGCTCGCCGTTGCAGACATATTTCTTTGTCTTTTCCCACTCTCGTCCTTTGCTGCCCACTCATTTGACAAAATGAACTCCCGTTGACACATTCCCCGGGCAATCAGCGCCTTGCTCCATGTGAATCACTCTGCCAGGCTGTGCGCCTGCGGAGATCGCTTGCGCACATGGAAGGAAGGCTTTAATTGTCACGAAAAAATGCGCTAATACAAATAATTTATCCACGTTCTTTTTTTCACGGCACGTGCATATCCATTCCGTTTTTTTTAGTAATTGTCCACCATAGTAATAGCAAATGTTTATTTTTCAATTCATGAACATGTTGAAACCTTATATTCAACTTATTCCAAAATATTATAATGTGTTGGCAATGGTGCACAAATAACAAAACTAAACATATTTATCAATAACACCTCCCTAAACGGACAACATATATCTAATCTTGATTTGAAGCTTTCGTGACTCTTTGGTTCTTTCGGTAAAGTCACTTAGGTAGAAAAAATAATAGATCACGACGTTTCGATTACAATGCAGGCAATCATCCTGACTTTACCAAAAGAACCAAAGAGTAACATATATCTACTCTCATTGGCCTTTGAGGGAAATATTATTGGCGAATGTGTTTAAAGTTTTTTTTTGGTGATTCATCAAACTTCTGTGTTCAGTGTATTCTGCATGCAAAGCATTCGCGGCTGTTGCGGTGACGTTTGTATGTTTATTGTTGTCACTGCATATCCATTAAAAACAATGTTGTGCTGCTCAATAGAGCCAGCGTCAGACCTTCCACAGAAAGCGAAGAGACGAGGAAGCCTGCGCCTATTCATCGGTATAACGTTTCGTGAGCAGGCTGAATCACATACGCAGGGACGCTATCAACACAAGTCTGCTAATGTTGGTGCTTTGCAGCGATGGAATAGCCCCCCCCTCCTTCCCCCACTGATTGCGAGACAAGACAGCTGGCATTTTTAGACGGACCGCCAACACGGCGATAAAGTTTAAGGTTGCTATGCGCATCTTGACACGCAGCTCATTGCGTTTGTAATTTGACGGATTTATGCGTGCGCCTAGCAAGCTCGTACAAGGCTCTAGCACTCCCGATTTTCTTTTAATGAGTATTATTTAAATTCTCTCACTTCAGCTATGTGTGTCCTATGCGCCGTCTTGATTTCTGTCCGATTTCAACTCGACTCAGCCAGAGGGCATTGTTGCACAGATGGGGTTGACCTCATGCTGTTTTTTGTGCTTGCCAATTCTATATCTAACTTGGCCCTCATTCGTTGGCAATCACTGTGATGTGCCATGTGTCAAGGTACGGCAAAAAGTATATCTGCATTTTGTTGCCGTAACATCTGTCCTTTACCAAACACCTCAGCCATAATCTCACGTAGTCATGCACACCAATGCTGGTCCAGCTTGAAAATAATTTTGAGATTCAGAGAGGCTTAAGATTAATTCCTCAGTGAATGGCATTATTATTAAATTACAAATATTAATTTTCTTAAATTTTTCTTGATTAAAATATTTCACCTAGAAACACCTTCGTGATAGCGCGTCTCATTTGCAATCGTATCTGGCATGTCAATTTTCGCATACATAGTAAACACATAATGCCACGTATACAAATATCTGTAATGCAAATCTACATATTAAAACCCGCATTTGATAAGTATTTAAACAATTATTTAAAATTTTTTAAATTATTTTTATATCTACGTGGCTTTACCGAAAGACCCAAAGAATATAATTATAATGGAATTACAGCAGAATCCCATTTCAAAATTGAGCAATGCATTTGCTACATCAGCTGTTTTCAATGTGGCATTGCATCCGGCAATATTACAAAGGTACGGCATGCAGTCTGTCATCGAGCACCAACATTAGTAAACCGTTTTTGAGCTTTGTTCCAGAAGTAGTACACAGTAGTACTTTCAAGTAACATTGCTATCAATAACCCATTTGGTAGATCTATCCAAGTAGTCCTTTGAGATACCATCAGTAAGCCATCTCTATCTGACCATCACTGCTTCTCTATCTGACGCATAGTGTCTAGAAACCATATTCAATCATTCATTCCATCTCGGTAGCTTCCACTGCTGGCTGGTAGGAAGGTGGTGAGGAGGAGGGGTACCATTGCTGCCGGGGCCGGGAGTGGTGCCACCTAGCGCGTGCGTGTCCCTGCAGAGAAACGCACGGACAAGTCGGCGGTGTCGGGCGCCATCCGCCTGCGCATCAGCGTGGAGATCAAAGGAGAGGAGAAGGTGGCGCCGTACCACGTGCAGTATACCTGCCTGCACGAGGTAAAGCCACGTGTAGCGTGCAGAGCGGTGGCCCGGTGTGATTGACATGTGGCCCTGGTGCAAGGCGTGAAATGTGGCCCGCTGTCTTTTGTCACTGTACCCTCTCCCTCCTCGTCGCGGGTGCCGATGGCGTGTTTCACACGACGGTGTAGGCCGAGGCATTTTCGGTGTCTCGGGAAACGGGTCAGGTGACACACACTCAGCAATCACAGCCGACCGACTGCAGACCTTGACACTGGTGCTCCTCCCGAGTCCTAGCAAGCTGCCACTGCCTTCGTTTCCTGCGCCGCCTAAAGCCAGGGCCTCCAGCCAACCGCCAACACTCGCCCCTTGCCTTCCTCACTCTTTGTAGGCCAGAGACGATCCTTTGTGATGTATATCCAGTTTTAAAATGCTTTACATTCTACAGATATATGTAAAGTGGCACAATGTAACACACAAACTGTGCCACCATTATGTGCAATTGAGTGAAATGGAAGAGAAATACCTATTTCAATATTGTATTTTTTACGGGAATTAACTAAATGGTTGATACCGCAGACTAGTGTTTTCTAAACAAATCTCTTTACATTTTCTTTCAACCTATCTACGTGCTTTAAGTCAATATCTCTTTACTCATGATACGTTTACGCATAGTCACCACTTACCAGTTATCCAGTTTTATGGAATTTGAATGTCAGACCTGGGCTTGGTAAAATTAAATGTAAAATATAAGTTGCGTGATGGATTTGTTTGGGGACTGGGCTGTAACAATCCACCATCTGCATGTGAAATCCTGGTTTATCTTAAGCCACTTTGAGGGATTTACACCCCACATTTCAACCAGCTCAGTCCTCCATTGGCATGCACATTGTGTCACGGTGCCGCACAACCTTCCGTTGCACCTGCAGTCTTTTCTGTATTCCTCCTCCTTTCAAGCATTCTCTGAAAGTGACTGTGATACTGCGTTTGAAACATTCAAACGCTATTATTCATGATTGATTCGGGCATTAGACCACGTAATGATCCGGCCAATATCTTTCTGTATAACTCTCCACCACCCAACATAGGAGTTTGTATAATAGTTTGTGCCAGGAGTTTGTATAATTAAAACTGGATATGGGTGATGAATGCTAAAGTTGACCTTTTGTAAACCAGTGCTTGCAACTTGACACACCCATTTATCTGCCTTATATCCACGGCAAAAATTGCAGTCGGTCGATGGATTTCAGTTTTGCCTTCAGACGCAACACTCACATCATTGTGGACACCAGTGGTGGTCAGGGAAATAATGGAGTTGATGGAGTCGGGAGGGGGATAGATGGAAGGAGCAAAAGCCAACACTCCAATCAATTTGCATAGCAGGGATACCTATGTGTGTGTGTATCTGCATGTGTGTGTGTGTGTGAGAGACTTCGTGTACATATGACTTGGTTGTGTGTGTGTTTTATATACGTGCGTTACATGTAAGCACCGCTCTGTACAAATTGTAAGAACGGGAAATACCAAGGACGAATTGACCGCCCCGAAATCGATCATAAAATCCAATTTTGGTAAACCTATAAAATAAAACGTGTCAACCCGCTAATGTAACTTGCGTTGCTGACGATTTGTAATGAGGAAAAATTGTTCATCGGCAGGGGCGGAGGGGGGGTGCAGTGGTCGGCACACCACACGATGAAACGTCGAAACCTTGGTTTGTCTGGATCGGTGGAGTAATGAGTGCACTTGCTTTTAATGGCAGGATTCTGAGCTGCAATTTAATATTTTTTTGATGGATTTAATAAACGACATTTTTCCATGAAAGGCATTGTATGCAGGTTTGACATATAATGAGTATTACCACCAAACATAACATTATATTAAATCAGCTTTATATGTGCTTAAGTAGAGGCTTATACAACTCCAATACAGGGCAGGGAGGAATTATTTTTGACAATATTGTCACTAACTAAATATTTACCTCGTGTGAGGAATACACAGGGTGCTTGACTTGCCACTCTCATTTGTTAAGAAATGTTAAGATGTTGTTGGAGCTTAATTTCAAACACTTGTATAATTTTACAATTGTATCCTACCTCGACACTTAGCGTTCATATATTTGACCATATCGTTTAATGTGTTTATTATGTGTTTAATTAAAAAAGTAAGTCTTACAATTATTTTTCAAAGGCAATTGTTAATTTTTAACAACATTGTTAAGATTACTCAACTAAATGCCCTTGCAAGAATAATCATCGACGAGCGCCGCTTTACGTTGTACCACTTTCGCAGAATCTCTTCCACTACCTGACCGACATACAAAACAACGGCGTGGTGAGGATTCCGGACGCCAAGGGCGACGAGGCGTGGAAGGTTTACTTTGACGAGACGGCGCAGGAGATCGTGGATGAGTTTGCCATGCGCTACGGCATTGAGTCCATCTACCAGGCGATGACGTGCGTACAGACCCCTCCCCCCTTGCCCTCCTCCTCCTTCACGTGCCCCTCGTCGTTAAATGGCCCTCCTGCTGCACATGTGCACATCATTTACCCGTGAGCCACTGCTTGCAGTTATCTGCGTGTCCGACGAATATGAACGCCTAATATGATTACGTGTGTATAATTTGTATGCATAAACACATGATAATTTCACGCGATAATTTCGACAACATTAATGATCATTACTATTCTTCAGAATAAATCAAAGCATTACTAAGTCTTCAACTTAGGAACCTTAGAATATTTTTATGGTTTTGTAAATGTTGAAAACAAATTTGCGTGCGACTTTTTTCATACTGAAATAATCCGTTTTTAAAAGTTGTATTGTATTTTTTCAATGCTATTGTACCAACATTTTGACATTTTAGGAAATCTCCAAAACTATCAAATTAAGGTGGACTAATATGGCCTCTTTTGGTTTAGTCAATGCTAATATTGTTATTTTCTAAGAAACACCCAAACACATGTGCGCTGCTATTCTAGATAATAGAACAATTTCCAGTGAAGAAGCCAGCAAATTGCTCCGTATGAACATTTTTTTGGAAATGCCGCATTTCGCCTGGAAAATGGAGCACTTATTCCGTATGATGAAGGAACTCTGCCACATTCTAGCACAGTCGTGGCTGCCACTACTCTAGGGATATCTCACATGGTTAACAACCTGATAGCTAATTGAGATAATGAACATTAATGGCAAATAATTGACCCAACACAGAGCCCCTTTGGGTTATATCTTAATGTCCTTTAAATATGTGTTTTATGTATCCACGTGTTACCGTGTTCACTTTCATTATTTCTTCGTGTCCCTAATTTACATCATTAGTGATCCCAGCAAAGTTCATAATAGTTTCTTAACGTTCTTCATTTATCCATGACACACCATGCTGATATATTATTTCTTAATGTGTGCTCTTTAACCCTGTGCATTTCCTTTAACATTCTTCATCACCTTTATTTTACCACAGGAAATACCACTGAGGTTAATTATCTCCCACTTTCTCTCTTTATTTTGGAACATCTGAGTGAGAGACATAAATGTGGGTACACCCACATCTTGCAAGATGTCTGGTCAGAGTGGAAGAGTAGGCCAAATTCCCTCGAGCACTCTCTCTAGTGGAAGTCCTTCTTTGAGCAGTGATGTGAACAAGTAATTGGCTTGCTGCATCTTTGTAAAATATAATAAATTCTGCTGAAAATGTAAAAGCCAATGAGGGTGATTATCATTCAAAGGCCACTTCAGGTTGGTTTAGGCTAAATTATGTGCCCAGAGAAGGCCTGTGGTCGAAGTAATCACATCTAATTAGCACGATCATGAGCCCCGCTGAGGAGGAGGAGGAAGCAGATGGTGTGGTGCTGCGCTACGGCCCCTTTAATGCTCTTGGGCAGCATATCGCAGTGATCTTTCAGCGCTACGGAGCTATTGATGGGAAGCCATCACAACTCTCAGTGGAGTTTCATATTTTTTATTTTACATTCTGAGAGGGGACATTTGTGTTGTGAATGGCCCCGAATATAATGCATTCTGTGGATCTAGATATACAAACATCTGGTGACAACTCCACATGATTAGGAATCTAATGTCGCGTGTCGGTTGATTTATTCATTTGTGAGTACATGCAGTGGTCGAAATTGGCGGACACACGATGGTACGCCATTCAGGCAATGCTCAGAACACTAAACGTGTACCAGCACTTTTCAAAGCAGTTCCTTTTGCTGTGCTACAAGCTATCCGCAGGGAGGAAACTGCACTGAACATTGGCTGCATGGCAAATGGGCATCAATGGGCTTCTACTTTTCCATTTCGACCACTGAGAAACGTGCCAACGCGTGACTTTGCGTGCATGTTGGCGAGCACACGCGTGTGTGTGTGCACTTCAGCACGCGCACACACGCGTGTTTGTGCGTGTGTGTGCACTTCAGCACGCGTCTGCTTTCGTGCGGTTGTACTACATTGGGTGGCCGTTGTGAGTTTTACCGCGTCTGTTTTAACGTCGTGCTCACGCGCTTGCACTTGCAGGCATTTCTCCTGCCTGTCGTCTAAGTACATGTGCCCGGGAGTCCCTGCGGTGATGAGCACCCTGCTGGCCAACATCAACGCCTACTACGCGCACACCACAGCCTCCACAAATGTCTCGGCCTCCGACCGCTTTGCTGCCTCGAACTTTGGTGTGAGTCCTGCAAACCCGCCGTGCATTCTGTGTCAAAGATTAAATTAGCCCGAATGTTGTCCTTTGAGGGTCGCGGTTCCATCTTACGACGAGTGCTGCCTGCGCAAATGCGAGATACGCAGCCGGGGTGGAGGGTGGGGTGGCTGGAGGGGGGCGTGACGTCAGTGCGACGCAGGACCCGGCTCACCGCTGCGAATGTGAGCGATGTCATCACGCAGATGTTGCTGTCAACACTACAAGCAACCTGCCCGCTCAAGTCCCAGCCAGCCAGCAAAACTTTTTTTTATAATGCAGTATCATATTACCCATTATTTTACTTAAGAATTTTTGATTTCACAAGCAGGTACATTTATATTTTTTCGGGCATAGTATGAGCCTCAGATTATTTTCAGTTATTTGTAGCCAATGTTCATTTAATCAGCGTGTAGTCTTCATCTAGGTCGATGATAATACGTGGAATTGAGTTTGGTCTTAGTCTGTGGATCTCACTTTTGTTATTCAAATAAAAATTACTGACTAATAATGTGCCCAGTGTTAATTCAGCCAGCATTTCGTGACTACATGAAATCCACAGACAGACCAAGACTATAGACGAAGACTAAAACATTAAAATGCGGGTTAACACTGTGCATCATGTGCCCGTTACACGCTGAAATGGTCTGGGGGAATCTTTTACCTCGGCATTGAAAGTCACTGCCCCTTTAGTGCATTGGTTCTTTGGTTAAATATGAAACCATTAGTGAACAGAATTCTTCCTCATATATGTGCTGCTGTTTGTGACAGAATTTCTGTTTGGTTGGCGTAGTGTTGCACAGCGCTGTTTTGTGATAGTATGTTGGTTTGTTTTGTTTGATGGAAAATGGGTCTATTTAACAGCAATTGTAAACTTAGCAAATGTATTCTCGTCACAATGTGGTCATACAATGTGAATCTTCAAAACAAAATATGCAATCGCAAGGTTTCCTGTAAGTGGTGCTTCTCTAGCAAAGGCTTTGCTCTTGAAATTGGTCATAGCAGAGTCTTTCCAGATCAATCGTGGGAGCTGAAGAGAGATGACAGGTGTGTTGGAGGTTTCGTAATTGTTTAATTCCTCCTATCTGTGACAGCTTATTAATCAATTCTGTTATCAGGTGTGGCCATCCTATCCCCAATTTCCTCCCATTATCCACAGGCCACTGGAGACCTTCCCAAAGGAGCATTGCATGAAAAAAAAAACACATAATTTGGCCCGGCATATTGTGTGCACTGTGTTTGAATCCTGAGTCCACGTTGCTGTACAATTATAGCAGCGCACTGTTACGGAACACGATTTTGGCTTCGTCTGAATTGTATGAGAACAGAAAGAGAGGTTTGTGCGGCTCTTGGACCAGCTGCACAACTCGCTGCGGATCGACCTGTCCATGTACCGGGTAAGGGCCCTTCATGACATTATGCTTTGTGGCATCGGCATGCATTTCGTTTTATTATACTTTGTGTGTGTGTACATATATATATATATACAGGGACTCCTCTACTTAGGGTCATTCGACTTAGGAACTTTCAGACGTACGAACAAACCTGTCCGTATGTCCAGTTGGCCCGTTCTGACCGAGAGTTGTAAGTTCAACAAGTACCGTGTGTGGTTCATGCAGACTTGATTCCTTGCAAAAGGTTTCTATTTGGTGTGTGAACATCTTAACACCTGTTTTATTGCCATGAAGAGTCAAACCTTATTTTAGGTGATTTATTAATGCGAATTTCATTGTAATTATTTTCAGATAATGAACGCTCTTTTCCCGACCACGTTCAATTCACAATTGGTTCGATTATGCTCCTTCAGACTGCAGTGTATGTTAAAGTTGTGCGTGTCTTGATCGACAGCTGAATTTAAATTATTCACCTTCGATTTGCTCTGCTACAATTGCAATTTGCACCATCACTATTATCTGAACGATTAGTGAGTAGCTTAAGTGTTTTTTTTAATCCTGACAGTGACCAAATTACGAGTAACCTATCGCATCCATTGTATTTTACAATATCCATTCCTTAAAAAAAAAGTTAAACCACAATGCAGAAAGGTGAAATACTCGACAGATGCATTTTTTAATTGTACTGTATGGAGGGCAGCAGTGGTGGTGGTGGCGTGGGTAGTTCAGTAATTGATTGAGCGTCATTTCATTAGAATGTGTGCTTTAAAAAGCTGTGCTAATTCTAGATTGAAATTAGCGCACTGAAAGCTTATGGAGAGCATTCATAGAGGTTATTTCAAACCGGTGTATTGCATGCATAATTGGGAACATGTGCTTTATTTCATTGACAGAACAACTTCCCTGCCAGTAACCCTGAAAGACTGCAGGACCTGAAGTCAACAGTGGACCTTTTGACCAGCATTACCTTCTTCAGGATGAAGGTATTTCCTTTCACATTGGTAACACATTCATAAAAGGCATTTTTGTTGGGGTGTCACTGAAATGTTATGGTCAATTCAGACTTGTGTCAGTAACTTTGAATGTCCTACATCATACAGATCACGATGCTATTTTTGCATATGACAATATGTTCCGGAGCCTAAATGCCAATGTTGACATCTATTAGCCACTCAGAGGGCTTTCAGGAGAGAGTTCATGTCGTTTTGCTCTTCCTCCCTTAAAGTAGTGCAGACTGTAGTTGTTTACAATGTGGCCCAGTTTACCGACAGGTTATAGTGTCTCTGCCTGCGACGAAGTCGACCGGAATGCACCCAATCTCGTCTGATCTCGGAAGCGAAGCACGGTTGAGTTTGGATCGGGCTTGGGTGGGTGACCACCGTGCATGACAGGTGTTACAGGCTTTGCGGCTACGAGATGGGCAGTCCAGCAAAATCCATCGTTAAACACTGTACTTTTGGCACTCGCACGTCTTTGCTGCCAGCCTTCAGCAGTCCGCAACGACCAGCATGGTGCATCGACTAACTCTGCTGTACCCATTCATGCTGCTGTGTGGACAGAGGTGGAGGGAGCGGGGGTCCATTGAAGAAATTTTGCCCCATTGTTTCGTTGGCCATGAGAAGGGGTCGAACCAACGATCCCTGGATTGCGCAAGTCCAGTGTGCTAACCATTACACCACAGCAGCTTCTCTCTGTTCACTGTCGAGCACGCTCATCTCTGTGTGATATATTCCTGGTGGCTGCAGGTACAGGAGCTGCAGAGCCCCCCACGTGCCAGCATGGTTGTCAAAGACTGCGTCAAGGCCTGCCTCAACTCCACCTACGAGTACATCTTCGCTAATTGCCATGAGCTTTATAGCCGGGAATACCAACCCGCTGATCCGGTAAGATTTAAAAAAAAAAACTGTTCACCTGGTAATATCACAAACCGCTGACCCCGTGATATCACAAACGAATGACTTGGTAAGGCTACAAACGGCTGACTAGATGTGAAAATAGCCAATGTCTCAACCCAGCGACAAAGAACTGTACATTTTTTTTGTCATTGTTGCACTTGTAGGCCACCCCTCAACCCAGACGTAAAGTAATGTCTCTGGCATTGCGTTGCCAATGAATGCTAACCGTTCCCACCGGGCGGTAATTTAATTATTTGCACGTTATTTATATATTGTCCTTTACTCAGTTGTCAACATTCATTTACGTCCACGGTGCTGCTGTGATTTATTAGTTCACAAATGCAAATATCAACCGTTTACGTGCATAACGTTCCCCTGGGTTACGGGATAACTTCAGCTTGCATTAGGCATGCAGTCTGCTTTTTTGTCCGTTCACACCTCAGCCAGTTCGACTGTGCAGAACACCACATTGCTTGGAATTACTCATTGTAATATCACTGGTCGTTCATATGGTGCACATGCCAAAAAATCTTTAACTGCCGTAGCCCTAAATTTATGCACCAGTGTTAGCTTCCAAATGACCACTCAATGCATTACTTTCTCAACGGAGATTGTCCTATGGAGAGTAATTTACACCACTATCTCAGGGCTGTTAACAGCAGACGAGCACTGCCTCAATCTACGTACGTACATTGAACGTCTTTCGCACCGTACGTAGCCAACCGTGCTCATCGAGGTGCGGAAGGGAAGGACGACACACTAAACTCAACAAGCAGTTCTAAAGAAATGAGCTTTCAATCTCGATGATGATTTAAAAGTGCATAGCTCCAGTGGCTTCCTAATATCGGAAGGAAGAGCATTCCAGACGGCCGCAAAATGCTCGTTTGAGCGAGAAATCACTTTCGTATTACTTTTGTCCACTGCAGCAATTGGTGCTGTTCGTTGATTGTGGGGTTTTATGGAGTTTAACCCTCTGAGATTGTATTAAATCACTTGCGTAGACTGGCTTGCTGTGTAAGCCGTGTACAATGCGCTTGTTTGTTTGCAACCTTCATCGAATGTTGAGAGAACTGTTATATTCGCAGTTGGGCTCCGAGCAGAAACTGTGCTTCTCGAGTGTGGAGTTGTTTGCCGCTATCAGCAGCACTGGTTACTGTGAGACTAAACAGAGCTGTTTGCTAATTAATCTGATTGTTTGGTGATGCTGCGTTGGCAAATACTCAACACATTCGGCAATAACACAGTGGCCCTAATTGTAAAAATATATAACAAGCAACGTCTTGGGCAAATGCACCTCCGATGAGTATGGTTTGCTACGTATGGTGCGAAAGAAGTTGATTTTTTTTATTTTCAAGACTATACTATGTGCTATTGATGAACGTGTTGAGTGCTAATTAAGATCACTTTCACACTCTGTCACAAATCTCACACTGCGACTTAGAGGCCCATTGCTCATTTAAATGACTCTATAATCCATTGCATGCAGTAGTATTTATAAAAACATGATTATATACGAGTAGACAATGTTGATTCAAAACAGCACTCTATGGTCAATGCACTTAGACTGGCAGCTTGTCAGCTGTATATGGGTTATAGAATGCACACGTGTTATTTTATTGTTCTCCCGCAGAGTAAGAAGCAGGATATTCCTGCCGATGAACAAGGGCCAAGCATCAAAAACCTGGACTTCTGGCCCAAGCTAATCACCCTCATCGTGTCGATCATCGAAGAGGACAAGAACTCCTACACGCCTGTCCTTAACCAGTGAGTTGCCTAGAGTTGATGTCCACTTGGAATGGACGAAATCTCTCTTGTCGTTCATTATGCACATTGTCTAATTCTACTTTCTATGTATGTTGAACTTGCGGTCCATGTTCGTCCCATGTCTCAGGCAGACCACGTGTCTTCGATGTTTACACATTGTTTTTTTATGGGGAATATTGGATCATATTCTTGGTTCTTTCGGTAAAGTCACGTAGAAGGGAAATAATAAAATAATAAAAATAAAACAATCAAATTCTCACGACGTTTCGATTGCAACAGAAGCAATCATCACCTGATGATGAATGCTTGTGAATATGAATCCCTGCAGTCACGAAAACTTTAAATCGAATATTGGATCGTTGTTGCAAGAGGTTTTCTGATTGCTTTTGTTTTACATGGGCTTTTTATTTTAAATTAGAATATTTCACCTGGTGTCCAGGGTGTCAACTTATGAGTGCATAATGACCATGAAAGATGTTGATACAAACATTTAAAATCTTTCACTTCTACAGTTTGCATTTATACAGTGAATATCATACCCAGTCAAACACATGAATAAATGTGGTGCACACCGCCAGTTCATGTTGAAGAAGTATTTGGATAAGATTTTGATTGCTGTATTCTTTTAATTGTTATCCAACCTTTAAAGTGTATTGAATTAGGTTTAACCTAAACTAATTTAGAAGTGTAGCAGGCCACTTCACCGTTTAATAAGAAATAATTATCTTGAATATATGAGAACAACGGCGATGGGGATAAATTCTTTGCACAGCTCTTTCTTTTCATTACTATGTCGAGGTCACATGTTTATGTTGGAACCTGTTTAAAAGTGTCACAAGAATCATCTCTAATAGAATGATGCATCACAATGACATTATTAACAGCTTCCTGTATGGTAACATCACTAACAATGACAGCCCCCCTTATTATACTGTATTACTTTGTAAATATGTATTTATTTACTCGATAACATCTTTGCGGTGACAATCATTGCTGGTCGGGTGATAAACCTGAAACATCTTGCTTGCAAAGCATCCCCTCTCCTGTGAGATCATCACAGTCTGTTTCCTTCACGATAGCCGAACGGCTGGCCCACATGGTACTGGGTGCAGTGCCTCGAATCCCATCACTGCCAAGCGTCTCGATGGAGGTTTTTTTTTTACAAAGCGCGCCAGCCGCTGTGAACGGACGACGCCCGCATCAGTTGATGACGCGCCCGTTATTTTGTTTCTTTCATTTCCAGACCCCCCCTTCAAACAAATTGCAAACTAAACGCTTTCTGTTCGTTGAGCGTGCGTGTGCCCATTCGTGCTCGATGACTCCCGCTGCTCGACGGCGTTTCCCCTCCCCCCGCCCACCACCTTGTGCCGTGTGCTCCTGCGGGTGCGTCGGAGTGAAGTGAAGGTAGCGTGCCGTACATGGGACACTGCGTAAATGAGCTTTGTGTGTTTCCCTAGGTTCCCTCAAGAGCTCAATGTGGGCAAGATCAGTGCAGAGGTTATGTGGATAGCCTTCGCTCAGGACATGAAGTATGCCCTTGAAGGTAGGTACCAGCAGGAACATATATGCAATGATTGGAGTGTCGAGATTGTCATTATGCTTATGGATGTGCTGGTGGAATCTAATTGGTTGAACAATGAGTTTATCGCAATGCGGTTTCTCAAATAAATATGCACATATAGCAACACGATATGATGTGCCAGACTATTAAGTGTAATGGAGTACAAATGAGCAAATCCTTGGAAGCTTTGCAGTTACTTTCTATTATCATTATTATTTTTGTTACACCGTGACAAATCTTCTGAAAGCTTGACTTGCATCGTTTGCGATGGAAAAAATACAACAGTATAAGCGTAGCGGTGAAACACTTAGCAGTGCGGCGGATTAATATGGAAATGAAACAACAAAGCTTTTCATAATAAAGTGTTTGCTCTTGAACGTGCAGCAATAGTCAACAGTGCTCACATCTACAAAAAGAGTGTTCAGGAGATAGGCAGGGGACAGGAAGAGTGGAATGTCGAAGAGAAGTTTAATCAAAGAAGACGTTGGCCACCGGTGGAGAGGGACCGAGACATTGTTCATGGCTTGCCAACCGTGGGGGCGTGGCAAGGGAGGGGGGGCGTGGCAAGGGACGGGGGGCGTGTCCTTGTGAAGCCCACTCTATATCCCAAGTGAATTCTGGCGGATCGTTTGATGATTTAAAAAAGGGCGTTTTCTGGGCAGAGCATTGCAACTTACGTTTAGCCCCGAGACACAACCAGCAGCTGGTGGACCTGGGGATCCTGTCATGATTGTGGCTTAAATTGCAAGGTCTAATTTGCGATTCAGGAGCAAAGTGGGCGCATCGGAGTTTTGTAAGAGAAGAGAACGGAGAAAAGGAAACATGACAGGGGGAGAGTGCACACGGAGAACAGAGGCAGCAAAGAGGGACACGGAGGGTGGGAGTAGGCAGAGGCCAAGAAGCACAGATAAGGAGAGACAGACATGGAGACAACAGCAATGTGTGCTTCGGTTTCACGTCTGGTAGTCAAACGAAAATAACATTCGAATTCAGGGTATGTAACGCACTCGTTAAAATGCATTAGTTCATACTTCTCAATGCAGAAGTCTCCAGACCTGGGTCCTTAAAAACGCATTGTGACTTTCCTGGATAAATATTATCACATAAGGCATGTGCCACTGAGGTGCTGGGCTAGTAATTGCCTTATTAGGCGCATGGCCTGTCCCACTGTGCTTGGAGTGGACCCCTTGAAGGGCTCCGTGCACCAGGATGTGCCGATGTCACAACGCCAATGCCGCCCATCCCCCCCACTGCCCCTCCTAGTCGGTTGGAGCCACGGTGGCAGATCTCTGATCGACAAAGGCCAATTAAACTCGGAGATTTAACACGTACGCTTTCTCGACCAATATCATCCATAATAGAGGGTTTTTTTCATTTTCTATTGTAAACTCGGAGATGTTAACGTTTCCAGTTTTATTTTCTGTAACCAGGTGAGATTCCGAGACCAGGATAAGTGACAATGGAGCAAATAAAATTGGAAATAGAATGCAGTAAGCTTGGCAAAATACACTCAATTTACAGCGAGAGTTGTTTTTTTTACATAGATCCAAAATGTGGGAATTATTCTTGCCATGTTTAATGTGTTTTTTATCTAATCGTAAGGGATCTGTGGGAGGGAAGGAATACATGTCTCCTGTAACAGGACAATATAGGGTTTTGGTAATTTGGAAACCCAGTTAGAATGATGTTTTCCCAAGTTCTTATCCAACAACAAATACACACAGGCTTACGGTGCAGAAAAAGAATGCCACTCCATCATTCGAACAGCAATACCGTTTGAGTATTTGCCTTCATCACAACCAACATTTGACAGGCCTTACGTCCTATCGGGGTCGAGTCTCTTCGTCATCAAACTCGTAAAACTAACAGCCTTTCCACTGTAAGACATGACGACCATCAATCATGTGTGTTCAATTTTGTTATGCTTTCATTGTGGGGCTACTGTTTCCATGTCTGTCGTTTTCATTTTTCATTTGTACTCCTTGTGCCTTCCCTGCTTCATTGTGCCTGGCCTTGTGCCACCGTCGCACCCTCACTTTCATTGCCAACGTTTAGCCTACAAACAGCGCTTACACTCAACACACTGCCATGGTAAGAAGCGTCCATCAACGCGTTGCTTGCATGCAAATCTCCTTTAGGCAACGGCAAGCTGGGAATAACCGATGGTGTTATTCACGCAACGAACGCGCATGATCTGCCTTGAAAACGGATCATGAAAAACAAAACTGTAGTGCACATTTCCCTACTTTAGCAGCAGATGGCTCTCTGTCTGCCTGCCTCTGTCGTCTCCAGTGTGTCGGGTTGGTCTGTCTGTCCATCATCGAGTGTGCCACCCGTGTCCACTCCCTCGTCCCATCCCCCTGGTTCCTTCCTCCATTGCGTTCAAGTAGCTCGCGCACGCAAACGCCCCTTTAGTGGCATTGTTCACGATGCTTCGCCAGATGTTTTGCTCTGTAGGAAAAAAAAAGTAATTTAGTTCGCTATTTTTTTTATTGCTCTTCGCGAATGCCCGCGTCGGAGTTATTTGCGGTATTGTTTGCAGAAATTGGAACATTTTTATTGAGTCAAGAATACAGTAAGTTTTATTTGGTGTAAACACACTGTGTGATTCACAGAGTTATTTGAAAATGTTAATTTTACTGTGTTTTAGTGAATGTTTAATGTAAATTGGGTTATCGGTCCTACAGAAAAAAAAAAGATTTTCTTTGTAATGTGATTGCAAATTCCTCGGTAATCGGATAATATATTATCTCGAAACGTGCCAGTTGAAACAATTGGGAAGGTTTATTAAACCCCTGGCGCCTGTCTGTGTGGTGGGGTAATGTGTGGGCTACGCTTACCTCTTCCAAAGTGTTTCCGGCCAGCATGGAAGAGTAGGCCAAAACGCTCTCAGAGGTGCTCTCTGGAGCTTCTATAGTGGAGGCCCCTTCCACCAATCGTGGCGTGAGCAGAGAATTACAGGGCAGGTCCTTTGTCTGCTCCGTATTCATGTTGTCTAGCAATGTCATACGCCTTCAAAGCAACTCTCTTATAACATGTATTGGCAAAATTATATACCCATACAAATGTGCACGAGTGAATTGGGATGAAAACGAGCCCAGTAATTGTCACGATACATACCAAACGTATGTATGGCAAATTACGAATGCCTTCTAGCTCATCACTTTATATAAGATATTTTTACAAGCTGCATATTTTAAATTTTATGTTTTATTATTTCTTTTACATGTTTTTTGTTTCTGTTCATGACCTGTGTGTGTGTCAAGGCTCGGCCACTGTGTGTGTACGTAGCGTGCTGTTCTCTACCGGTAAGAAATGGTCCCAGATACAGAGCTTTATGAGGCCCTGTAAAGGTTGCTTTACGTGTCTCCCGTTTAATAACGAGGATTTCAAACATGGCAACAGTAACCTTTAGAGGATAAATTGGCGGCACGTTTATGATCAGGAAATACTAAGCAACTTGTCACTTCCATAGTTGATGGCAAATGCTTGGTGGATGTTTAGCATGGTGAATTTAAATCTCAATTCCTACACCCAAACATATACTCATTTCCAAATTCATTGGCGTAGCTATTTATTTTGTTTAAATAAATTGAAAGCTAACCTAGCCTCTCATGTGCAGTTTTTTTACTGGGCAGACACCATCAAATATTGGGCTGCCCATACGCCAAATATATCCAAGAGTGTACCAAACTAACGAGACGTTTACAGGGCCTCATTCATGGAGATCACGGGATATGTGTGTGTTGTGCTGCTATTCCTTACCTAACCTTACCACAGGTGTTCTGCACGATACCTGTAGAAGTTGATGTACGTCCCTTTCCTGCTCAACTTTCCTTTGTTATACTATCCCTGAAGGGGGACAAAAAACCTCTTCTAGTTGAGTTAATGTATTTGTTAATTTACCAGAATATTGGCATCATCGTCTTCTCCAAGCCTGTAGAATGTTTGTGCCAAATGTTGCAAGAAACAGCTGAATTTTCCAGCTGCTTGCTGTGTCACCACATGCAGTCGGGAATCCAGTGCATTGTGGGGGTTGCACTTGTCAGAGCACACGGCAAAGGGTTCATGCCACGTTGGTGTCTGTGACCACGTGGATGCAGTGACGTCATTGCAGCAATGCGCTTGGACGTCGTCAAGTTATTATTAACGCCGTTACCAGATTGGCGTCGCCTCGACCCCACACAATTGCGACGTAAAGCGGCGTATTATTGTATTGCCGTGGGTTGCATATGACGGGGATGTCCATTTATATGGGCTTTCATGCCGTGTTGATAAATCAAACATTTAGTTTACATTTTTTTCGTGATATTTATGAATACATTTTTTTGCTTATTCTCAAAAAAAATTTCTCTGTTAGCAGTTACAATGTTGGGCATCAACAACGAGTGGCCTGACCGCATTACGAGTATTGTTTACTGTATGCAGACGATAAGCTGGATACAAAAACTATCATTTGAAGACCGTGAAAGGGTCCTTGCCACTATCATATGCTAAACGTCAAGATTATTCATCAAAAAAGCAGCTACTTAAACAAATTAACAACTGTCCCGAAATTGTTCATCAGCAGCATACACCCTCAGTACTTGACGTTGAGGTATCTCTCCCTCCAAAGAGGTTATCAACAAAATGTCCAATATGTCTGTGATTATTTGTCATGTGTCGCACCACTGGACAGCATTTTATACCGAGGTGAAACGAATTTATTGATTTTTGAATCAACTGGTGGCAGGCAATCAAATAGATGAGATTTTCCAGGTTGACACCTCTGTTGAACACATTCATATCACATGCAAGTGATTACATTGGATGTTGATGAGAGCAGAACACCTTGCCATTCATTCATAAACTCAAATCAGCAGCCACCAATATGCCCTCCTCACGCTATTTACCGGTATTGATAAAAATATGTAAAGAATAACAACTTTCTTCTTCACGAAATAGCCTTTTGTCAATCGCCTGCGAAATGAAGCCCTTTCTCACACAGTGTCAGTTATGGGGGTTTGTTTGACTATACTTCACCATGCTGGTCAGTTGGACCAGTTCAGACATCACTGACCAGGAATTAAACTCAGCTTTCCAACTCAATAAAACAGTGCCGCTGACAATCTCATCACCACTCCACCCATTGTCTTAATATGGTGAATTATATACACTGAAAACATTGATAGCAGGGAAACAATAGACTACTCTTTGTTTTTTTTCGGTTAAGTCACGTAGGTAAAAAATTAAATTAAATAAATGAAAACAACTGGATTAAATCACGACGTTTCGGGCGCAACACAAGCGTCGTGATATAATTTAGTTTTCATTTATTTTATTTTTTACCTACGTGACTTTACCAAAAAAACCAAAGAGTGAATCCTTGCAGTCACGAAAGCTTCAAATCTAGAATTAAACAATAGACTCTGGTATTACTGATGTTGTACGCCACCTGAAATGTATGACCCATTTGTTCAAGGCTTTTCATTTTTAAAAAAATGTCATGTTGCAAATCCTCAGCCCCAGGCATGGCCCAGATGGCATTTTTTGGTGTCATTACAAAAGGCTCATAATCTCTGGCACCTCCCGCAGAGGCTTTTCTGAGAGACATAAGTGTTACTGGAGGACGATTTCTGCACAATTTATAACCCCTATTTAGAATTGTCAGAGCAATTTACTAGACAAACTTTGTGTTTGGCACTTAATATATTTATAATATGAATCTGTATGTGATGCATTTTGCTTTCACTCTGTACTGATGCCTGTCAAAAATAACTGATTCAGAGAGGCTTACACTACTACTGACATTCAGCAGATTAATGAGTCGGACAACTTTTTACTGATTGAACTCGGACGAGGCTTTTGTGTGTGGGGCTTAAAGATTAGATATAGGTTCAGGATTCTCAGCATTACATAAATTAATATTCGAGAGGCAGTCTGAAATCATGTAAACACGTTTTTACGGCACGCCATCACGGATTATAATGTTTAAAGTCACGTACCAAGTGAATATTGATTGATTGCATTCTTTGATTGTTGTATATTTTATGTAGGGTATTGTGTCCGATTTAAGTTTGTGCAAGTTTATATTATTTGTTATATAGATGGTCGCGTTTGGCCAGTTACCTGGGAGATCCGTGATGCGTGTGCTCAGCAACAACAAACCAAAAAGACAAAAACGTCAACACTGCAGAGAGTGAGAGGCAGGGTTCTTAAAGAATCGTGCACAACTCACAAACGATAGGTGTTTAACGGTCATAACGAAACACAGGCGAGTCAGCAACAGTTACAGTGTCGTGAAACGTCAGGTACAGGCGCACGTAAGCGCTTTATGTTAGTCTAACGGTGATATAAACACGTGCAAGTCGATAAAGACGGTGCAGATGTGTGGGAGCAAGATGCGTCGGAAGAAGCTCGGTACAGGTGCAAGTAAGCCCTGTGTCATTTTGAATGTGTGTCATCTGGAGTGGACTTATTATCTGTAGTATCCATGTGCATATATCTTTACTGAAGTCGAATTGCAGCGTGGTCATTAATTGACTGTGCTGTGAAACGCAGGCAATGCCATTATTCTACCATGATACTGTAATGTGTGAAACATTAATGCTTGTCCAGGCATCAAACTGTTCAAGCCCTGTATACTATTTGGTGTTACATTTTAACGCATTGTAAGGTGGTGCTGTTAAATCTCTACATTATAAAATTAGATATATATCAATTTAACACGTAGGCTTAGCAGTAAATATATCTATATACTGCGAGCCGGTTCATATTTTGCAAAGCGTGTACTTTATATGTTTCTACTGCTCACCACTTAATATTTTATATCGCCCTTTTGTGTGCACGCGTACCTGCACACGCTTCGTTCTCCTGCAGCTTGAGTAAGCGTGGTCTCTCCGTGTGTCTGCAGAGCACAGCAAGAACGGGCAGTGCAAGAGTGCCGACTACATGAACCTGCACTTCAAGGTGAAATGGCTCTACAACGAGTATGTGCGGGACCTGCCGGCCATCAAGGGAGAGGTCCCCGAATACCCAGTGTGAGTAGTGTCCCTTCCCTTCTACATTGTGGCTCTCGCCCACGTACCTGCTCCGCCACTGTGGAGGGTGGGGGGATTATGGCTCTTCGTGAGGTTGTGTATTCGTGCATGTGGTAGCGACTGGCATGTAGGGACATCCAAAGACGTGGGTTTCTCGGAGCGTCAGGACATCAATGTTAGGTGTGTTCGTTATGATCGCGAGATACTCACGGTTCACCCGGAAGAGTCCCTCAATGTTCATTTGGATGATCCTTGTCCCAGGGCCTATCTGGCGCGCTGTCGTTGTTTGGCCCTGAAGAGTGCCGTTGGCGTGGCTTGTGTTGTTGTTGCTCTGGAGACTGGGAGATCGATGATCGATGTTCGGTAGCCGCGTTGATGGCGTTCGTCGTGATTTCTCACATAACAGAGTGGGCCACGTGAAGGCTGACATCTTCCACTCCTGCTCCACCACTACTGTCATCTAATGATAAACGGTTATGATTATTTTTATTTGCTACTTCCGCTAAATTCTTATCGCGCAATGCTTCCACTAAGAGAGACGCTAATGTTTCACAGTCGGCAGTAGTTTCACGGTTAGGGGTGATGTTTCTGCGTGTAATCCCAATTGAGTCATTTGCAGGAATATATTTTTTCGAATTTGGACCGTGACGCTTGAACACAATGGCCTACCATGGCGCCGCCGCCGCACATCAACGCAGAATATGATGGCACGATGTAATCAGGTGGTTCCATGCGGTAGTGTTATGTTAATGTACTAACCTATCCCCTTCCCAGGCACGGTGTTAGAGTTTTGATTTACTGTGTAATTCTGTGTATGCATTTTCACGTATACGCTCGGTTTAATGATCTCCGATCGTTGCAAATAATCTGACAGTTGATCTGTTTGTCCCTGCTCAGCTCTCGGGGTATTACAATTGGCATGGTGTGTGAAGTGAAACAATGTCATGCACGACTAGACAGCACTGCCTGCAGTGTGCAAGATAGACTCTTAACATTAACAGTGGGAAGTCCCAGCAGCAGTGTTGGGTTCTGGAGCGCTGTCCATCTGCTAGATTTGTGGCAAAGGGGTTTCTGCTGGTAAAATAAATTGTATTTCATGGCAATAATGTACACTTTCCATATAATTAAACCCATATGCCTTCATATCTCAAAACCAATCTCTTTTCTGCCTTGATTGGCTCTCCCCGTGAAGTGTCTTCATTTACACCTTCATCACCTCATCACCTTCATCACCTTCATCACCTCCATCACCTCCATCACCTTCATCACCTCCATCACCTCCATCACCTTCATCACCTCCATCACCTCCATCACCTTCATCACCTTCATCACCTCCATCACCTTCATCACCTTCACCCATTGTCATCTCATTCTCTGCCTGCCTTTTGTACTTCTGCTCTTTACTCCGTCCCCTCTGGAAAAAGTAAGTTCCTCTTTAAACAAATGACTTCCGTAGGCCTGCCTCTCTCGTATGCACAATATTGAGATACCACGTACGTGGAAAAGCAGTTGTCCTATGGATAGAGTCATCCCTTCCATAGTAATGAGGGACTTCTACCACTGGCTCCGGACCGTAAGCAGGGGACGAGCAACGCTCCAATGGCCATGTGAGCAGGAAATTACTTGCGTATTCTGATTGAGATGCGGTGCAATGTAGACACTTGATACATTCAAATTCTATTCTGTTGCATGTAGGATATTGTGCTCTATGCTAGGAAAACACAAGTTGATCTGTCTTGTTTCTTTACCCATGCTATAGCACTGCCCTTTACATTCCACAAAGCTAAATGGGGGGATGTTGGTGTACGTGTGTTAACGTAAGTATGTGTGTGGGGGGCGGAAGTGTAGCGGTTAGTGTGCTGGGGAGACAAAGGCAGCCGGGCGTGGTGGCACTTTCCCCAAGAGTGTGTGACAGGCTAGACGGGACATCTTTGTCTTTGTGGGTGCATGTGGCTGCGCCTGCAGGTGGTTCGAGCCGTTTGTGCTGCAGTGGCTGAACGAGAACGAGGACGTGTCCCTGGAGTTCCTGCACGGCGCCCTGGAGCGTGACAAGAAGGACGGCGTAAGCCTCCCTCCCCGCCCGCGCTCCCCGTCGCCACCGCTCGGCTGCCACCGTAGTTTGCGGAATTCGCGGGCCGTGGCGCACAAACAGAGCTCCCAACATGCCGCGGGCTCCCCCCGCCCCTGCTCCCACCCTCCCGCCCCGCCACCCACCGTAAAAATGGGTCCACAGTCGCTGTTGCGCTCATTACCGGAACTATTGCAATTCAGTTTTGTCTTCTGTGTCACGAGTAACTGATTATTGTATCCACTGAGCCTCCGCAGAGGTTGTCGAATGGCTTCAGAACCTTGATATCCACATGTAGCATTGCTAATTTCTCCGTGCCATATGAAGAAAGGTGATCGCTTGTACGTACGTATGTTGAACTTCTTTCGCACCGTACGTAGCCAACCGTGCTAATCGGAGGTGCGGGGGAAGGACAACAAACAAAACACAAAAAGCAGTTTGTATTATTGATAGAATTTTGGGGACAATTAGTATAAGTATATTTTTTAAGAAGACTGAGTTACGCTTATAAATATGTTCGGTTTTATGCCAATGCGTATGGCAAATATTGTCCTTTGGTCAAGCAAATCATCTTCAACATCGGTGTTTTGTAATGTTTATGCAAATCTCTGTAAACTAACTACAGCATAATAAATGGAAGCGCTTACTCACACAGACTAAAGAAAATACATCTTTATTACTTGTGCTACATATCAACAGTTAGCTAATCTCCAACTACTTATATTTATAAATAGACTACTCATTAATGAAAGCCTGCCATTATTAATGTAAATGTAAATTATATTTAATAATAATATACATCACTTTGTCAAACCACTGTGAGATAGCAGCCTCCCCGCCATGTTGACCATGGGCGGTTTTACTGGACCTCACCGCTCAGGTTTGTGAATGTTATACCCAGGGATCAATTTGGAGAACACTCGCCACTGGTCTGAGCCATGGCCGAGAATTGAACTGGGCTCACTGGGTTCACAGTGTAGTTTACGATCCACTGCAGCAACACTGCTCTCCAACGGTAGCGTTAACGCAGGCGTGTACAATGCTCAGCATCAGCCATTCTCGGTCCACTGCTACATGACACTTTGCTCATGAAAATGCCATCCGCTCTCGCACATGTCAAACCTTAATTGCCAACGCTGTGTCTCTCATCTCTTTATTCTGTCAGGTGCAGCATCCTCTATATTTGCAGCTCCTTTCATCTTGTGTAGCTGACCTTTTGCAATGCTTTTCTCGCTCGAGATTCATAAAAGACCATCGATGTTATTGCTCGCTCGCCTTTAATGCTCGCTCCACTTTATTAACTGCTCAATCAAGCGCGTATACATGACTGAAGCCATGAGCTGTGCTACTGGCAAAGGAGGTCTCAGAATGTGCTCATTAGGCTTCCAGCATTTCTCTTTCAGTTTCGTATTCCAAACATGGTTGGGAAAAAAGGTCCTTTTGAATCTCCTATTAAATTGCAACACGTATTATGTTTATTCACAATTAATGCAGGAGTATAAAATCTTAAGTAAGTTCCAAATTGATGTCTCTATTTTTATTTGGCCAAATTTTTTTATTGCAATAATAAAATACCCTTTAAAAAAAAATTGTGCGATTCATTCAAAACAATTTTACTTTTTATTTTATTACAACTGTCACCCACTCCAAATGTTGAGGTTATCAATGCAGTTTTTGTCCATGAATTGGTGACGGAGCCATGCTCATCTCCTTGCCAAGTTTTGAAACGTGATTTAATCTCATCGGGCTGCCCAGGTTTGAATGCAGAATACCAACATTTTGGGGGTAGTTCGATATATTACACAATCACTGTCTCCCTCCTCATCCCCTACCCCCTTGAGGAATACTGCACTAGATGCTTCTCTCGTGGTATGCCCTACGCTGAGTGACGCAATGGCTTTTTCTTTGTCTTCCCCCAACAGTTCCAGCAGACATCAGAGCATGCCCTCTTCTCGTGTTCGGTGGTAGATGTGTTCACGCAGCTCAACCAGAGCTTTGAGATCATCAAGAAGTTGGAATGCCCTGACCCCAAGATCGTGGGGCACTACATGCGCCGCTTTGCAAGGGTAAAACCCACCACTGCCTTTGGTGCCGAGTCAAGAGCCGCATGTCCATGTCTCAGTGTCTGTGCTGTATATTTTTTCTCTCGGCTACAGAGATTTATCGGTGGCACTTGTGTTTGAGGCCCCCTCTGTGTATTTTTATAAAACACACTTTCCACCGACAGTGAGCGATTTCATATTTTCCTCTGTACGCACACTTAACTAAACACTTATGGAATTTTAAATTTCACAAATATTGTTTTTCTTGCCAGGCTTTTGATTTCTAAACCATGCAAATAAAAATTCTGCTCTCAAATTGATGATGCAATGTTAAAAAAGACACGATTCTGCAACAATCTCCAAATGTGTGTTTCAAATAACGGTGCACGTACATTTGGCCCGCGTCCAGTTGTCCAAGCGACGTCGCAGAATTGTCCAGTCGCACAGCTTGCCCGGGGCTAGAGGACAGGGGGTGACTTCATATCAGTCACATTACGTATGTAATTATTATTAGCTTAATTAAATGTTTATAGAATTTACTTAATATTATTATTTATATTATTTATACTTATTTTCATTATGCGCACATTATATAATATTTTTTTAATTTAGTCATTATTTAATTGTTATTTAATTATTTTGGGATTATCTGAGATACTTCTAATGCCATCCTGTCTGCGTTGATGTTGATGGTAACTGCATTGCTAAAGGAAACCTTTTTTACTAATTTCAAAACAACTACTTTTAAAGCGGGGCATGTTTTTACCCACGTGGACGGTTACATCGTAATGCATGTTTTCGTGACTTGAGAAACTGTTTCAACGAGGAAAGGTTGTGCATTACTTCACCCGTCTTCTGTGTATCTTTCTCAGACTATCGGGAAGGTGCTGCTACAGTATGCTGATATCATATCCAAGGATTTTCAGTCCTACTGCTCCAAAGAAAAAGTGGTATCTATCCTTCCTGCCTCTTTAATCCAATGCTATCTTGGGACAGCGTTCATAATTGGGTTCCAGGGCGGCTTGGCAGACAGCACTGTAACAATGTGTTCAACTCTTATCTGCTCCATGCTTCTGCAGAGTTTGGAGTTCTATTCATCTTTAGCTGGATTAATATAGCCACATGGTTCAATGCAATTTTATATGCAGTCAATGTCTTGGCCTGATTAATATACAATGCATTCATTATTTGAACACAAGTCTAAATTAATGCAGATATTCGAATTCCAGGATGTGTTGGGTGTATATAGTTATTGCAGGCATGCAGCCCCTCATTTCTGTGTCTGCCCTAAGCACGTACAATGTATGACGCATCGAGAACAGTTGAAGAAATATACACACAAAATACATCAACAGAGCCCTGTTTGTCTCTCCACGTTTTTTTATTCTATCGCCCTATGGGTTTTCCAGACCATTTGCCAGTGAGATGCAAAATGTTGAAACTAGTCCAGGCTTTTCTTGCTTAAACAAATGGCACTGGATAATATGCTGGAAAGGCCGTAGGGGAATTCGACTCAGACATCTTGTTTTTCTGCGTAGACAGACGAGCGTCTGTTCGATGTATTACCCATAATACTTCACAACAGCATATCAAACATACAAATTACTTCCGTTTGGGAATGTTCACAGTCAATTCACAGTGTATTTATTTTGTTTCATGTCCAGCCATGCATCCTGATGAACAACATCCAGCAGCTGAGAGTGCAGCTGGAGAAGATGTTTGAAGCCATGGGTGGCAAGGAGGTACGTGCCACCCAGCTGCACTGATCGTCTCTCTCCAACGGGCGCCAGTGGCTCTGGAGGATTGACTGTTGCGCGATGTGACTTCATGTTGTACAGCTTCGCGTCTCTCCACGTAATGGCAGCTTTGTGTCCCTACGCAGCGAGGTGGTGTATTGCACACGTGCTGGTGCGTTGAATTTGCCCATCGAGGCGCCCAGTGTTGTTAGATGTAAAGTATTCTCCCACGATTTTGGGGGGAGGGATTTTTGGTCATCAGAGAAGTGTGGTGGAAAGTAACGGATATAATTTGTAGGCATTTTTTTTTACGTAACCAGAAGAAAGAACGATGTTTATTTCAGTGATCTGGTAAAAATAGAATACGACACATGTAATAAAACTACTTTATAATGTATATTCTTAGTTCTTTCGGTAAAGTCACATAGATAGAAAATAAAAAATGATAAAATAAAATTTAAATTATAAAAAATTTAACAAAAATACTTTGTAATGTATTGCTGATTCATATAAAATTCTCATTATATAAAACTATAAAGTTCGAATTACCTTAGTAATACTCCATTATTCAGACCTCGAGTCATAACCAAGGCATCGTATTTGAAGAGGAGCTGCCCTTAAACTATAATGACACCATCTACATCTGCCAACTGCTTGTCTCCTCCCTGGCTACATCCAGTAATCACACGTTCCTCACCTCTCACCTTGATTATAATCACTCTCACTAATGCCCTTGCAAAATCTCGCCTCTAAACTCGAGCTGATATCCAGAAAGCCGCTGCCAGACTTCTCATCCATGCCACTAAAAATAGTCGGTGGCTTCCTTCTCAAGCAAGCTTTGCGGTGGCCGTGGCGGTGGCAGTGTTGATCTCGCATTCCACCGTCGGCTCGTTCCATAGAATCACCACTGCTCACTTGCCATACAGTGGCGTTCGTTTTCACAAACCTGCAGAGATGGAGTGCTTCGTTAACCACCAGCTTAGGGTTTGCACACAACCACCCAACTGCGGCCCAGACACTCTGACTACTTCTCCGCCAGGCCACAAGCACCGATAAAGCCTCACCAACTTTGCATGATGCTTCACTTTTGCCTCCAATTATGATCTCTGTAATTTAACTTGATGCTGTTTATTCTCATGCATATAAATTACGGTGGTCACCCTCAAAACTCCTTCTTTTGCACCATGTCTTGACCATCTGGTGTGCCTTTCCCTCTGCGCTACATCTCCCCCCTTTACGCCCCTTCTGTCCCTCTTCTTGAGTTGCTCCCCACCAGGCTCTCCTCACCAGGCCTGATGTTCCCTCTCGTGTGTACTCTCTTGAGATTTAACATATGACTTCGTAAAAAAGATAACGCGTAATTGCTATGTGCAACTGGTACGATATGCACGTGAACGTGCGTCGGTATGCATAGTCGTACAACGCGCGATTGCAGGCGCTTACCGAACTGTGCACTCTGCAATATTAACACACATTTTGCTAAAATAATATTTTGGTAACTGTCCATTAAATGTGTGCCGTCACGTAACTCTTAAAGCTTATTGAGTCACTCGCGACGATGTCACCCGGAGTGAACGATGTGGCGCGCGCTGTCACGCACCATTCTTGGAGTGTCACGCCCCGCCTAGATATGTGGGGCTCTCTCTGGGCTTACGTGCGGCGCATCGGAGAGTCATTTCAGTTTTCATTTCATCTCTTATCCAAAAGTATTTTCCCGGAGGAAGTGAGGTGCACCAGCTGCCCATGCCAGTTTGCGCTATTTTTCATATAAAACGAGAGGCTCAGGGTTCATGCAGGTTGCATGGCCCAACCAGACGGTGCCTTTGAAATGTTACACCATAGGGAGCTTTTTGTGATCGCAGAAAAGGTAAGTTTGTCAAAGGATGACTTTCCATCATGCAATTATAATAGAATGTTTTTACGTATTACCATCATTTTGGTAACTTTGCTCTTACCAGCCCTCAAAGGGCTTCATATAAGCTATATTCTACCTTTTTTATTGCCATAAACACCATTAATCAAAATCTTTTATTGCATAAAAACATTACCTGTATAAAAAAACGGAGATGTAAACTTGTGTTTTCAACTTTCACAACAAATGGGGAAAAAAATCAAAGGAAGTAGATGTTTGAGTGTTTCTTGTCTGCGTTTCCTTTTGGCTTAAGCACTAACTCGTGTATATTTGTGTGTTTTTCTGTGTGCATCTGAGAGTCGGTTTGCATACACATCTGGATGTCTGCTTGCAGTTTGCAAAAGCAATTGTTATAAAATCTTCTGTATAGTAACAAAGAAACGCGATTTAAAGATAATAGGCCCATAAATAGCCCCCCACTGCATCGTCTGCTGTGTGGTGTGTGCGATGTCTCATGCTGCATCGGCATTTCGTGTTTGCTGTACGTTGCTTTTAACACACTGCTCCTTGTCCTGTCTCTGTCTTTGTCTCTGTCCATCGGGGGCCTTTCTCAGGAGGTGAAATCCGTGCTGTATGGAATTGATAAGGTCTCTACCTCTCTGGCCCTGGCCACCTTAGTCTTGCACGCCCAGGATACAGCAGAGGCGTAGTCACACAAACCCCACTTTGTGAAAGCTTGCATTTTTTTCAGATGGTAAGAGTAGATCCATATTGGAAAATTGTAGTTTACAATCATCGATTAATAAGATAGATAATTGTAAAATGTCCTTCCAGTTGCTGGTTGGAACTGATTCACCATTGCTCTTCCAGTAATCTCCAGCCATGGACGACACACGCTATAGAATTAAAGCACAGGTGCTTCCCTACCTGGGATACTTGAAACAAGTCCAGCGTTACTTCCTGGGCAATCCATAATTCAGCATTAATCTAGGGCAGTGGCTCCTAACTCGCATAGCAAATCGAACGTGACACATCTGCATACAAACTGTTAGCAACACAGTTTGCATGGAGATGCTTCCCGGAAGCCCGTTGTGGACTCAAGAGATCTTAAATTGTACCAAAAATATTGTTTTGTTTCTGATAATGCAGAAGGAGGAACCAATTTGATGACTTTAAACATCATTGTTGTGTGAGCCATCTCCAGATGTGCGCGTGTCCAGTAAACAATACCATGACTAGATTCCCAAGCAGTGTAATTACTATTAATCCTACCCTGATCAACTGGCAGGTTACTTAACATGTACTTATAGCTTCTAAATTTCAAGACACATTAACTTACACCCCATGAAGTCTCTTCAGTGAGACTTAAGTGGCCATTACGTTAAGTTACATGCATTAAGTGATCGCCAGTGTGAGCCCAGTCTGAGAGAGAACCCCATTTCAGCAGGTTAGAATTGTGAAGCCCTTGTTGTAAAAGAAACGTGCACGCACTTGCGTGCCATTTTCTGATCCACGGTTGGAGAGAAAAATGCAGCGCAAAGTAGTGGGTGTGAGAATGCCGTTTGTTTCTCAGTACTCGAGAACCTGCAATGACAACTACATTGCCTGTCTAGATGATTTTCCCTTCCTAAAGTTCACTTTTCCTTCCTCCCCTTCCTTCCAACATGAATCCCCACGACCCCATGCGCTGTGCACTCGTAGTGGGGATGATGTCGATAGTGGCACATGCTGGAAAATTGTTTTGTTTCAGCAAAGTCAGAGTACTTTGACGTAATGCGATAAAAGCGTGGGTAGGCCGTAAGTTAAAATAGTGTGCTGGCGATATATAAACCTTTGAGATAAAACAAATAATTGAATTTAATATTGTTTTGTACCAAATATTTTATTTTTATTGAGTAATATTGCATTGCTGTCTTAAATAATTTCTATGATAATAGAAGCAAAATATATTTATACCAAAAACAGGCTTAAATCTTATTGTTTTTCCATGAGGAACTTCAGGTATTGTTTCGATATTTCCCGCACCTCCAATTAACATGGTTGGCTACATACTGTGCGACAGAAGTTCAACATACATTATTTATACTCTTTGGTTCTTTCGGTAAAGTCACGTATGTATAAAATAAAAATACATTATTTAAGCTGAAAGTGTCTATGCAGTTTCTGCCCAACGGTACAACGTGAGAGAAAAAAATCAGTTACATCACTACATAAGATGGCACGCCACAGCAACACTCCACAAAAGACATGCACGGCACTTTTCCAAGCATTTTCATCTCAAGCAACGCTGAATAGTTTTAAGGAGAAATGGCAGTGAATGTGTGCTGCAAGGTCAAACAGGTTGCAAACTGACACTTGTACTTCTACACTTACTCATGGTATATACCGCGTACACTGTACACATTCAGTGCGATATATACCTGTGTAAGTTAAAGAATATTCACACACTGAGTATGTGGTGTATTTACTGCTACATTAGTTTGCACATCTAAACATACACACATGCACTCTGGGTTGAGTGTAAACTTTACGTACCTGCCATCATCATTTTCCTGCGTTTTGCTTCAGGGTGGTGTTGCATACTGTCTGTACAAGGTAGCTTCATAATAATTGGGTAACATATCCAGCACGGGGGGGGGGGGGAGAGGCTTCGTGTGGTGCGTCAATACACAGAGCCATTAACTACCAAGGGCTGCAGAGCAACATAGAGCCTTCGCTTGACACGTCTTGAACATTATTTGTTTAAAGATACAGTACATATTTTCTCGTTATTCTGTAGGTTATTGAGGGGGATTTTTTTAGATACACTTTGAAGCTACTTTGTACGATATATATGAGGGGTGGTCAGACTGCTTTGTTATTATGAGGACATGATACTCATAATAGCAACATTGCATTAGCTCTCATTTAAAGTACTATCTCTGTGCACTAGTGTTGCAGTGGAATAAAGATGACTTTTAAAAAAACATTAATGTCCCTGCACACTTTTGATGTTCTTTTCCCAAATGTTGTTGACCTCCTTCATATATACGTGTGTGTATTTCCACCCATTAAATTTCGGCATAATGTTGTGAGATGTGGCATTCATCATCTGTCCTGCGTGCACGCCCTGTGTCTTCTTTGTCACTAACGGTGCCCTTGAATCCACATCTGAAAGTACCATGGTGATGCATGGCAAATGAGTTTTTGAATTCGTGGTTATTCGTAATATCTTCATCGATAGGCTTAAGAGAAGAGCCCTTCCATACAATGGTGTACCCTGCAATCCACTCCCGACACCGCCATTCAGAATTTATATTTTGTAAAGGCACCGGATATGTTTTGGCTGTACGTGAGCATGGGACAATGCTCGTGGTAGTATATCTGTTAATTGAAAACAGCTTATTATTTTACGCTTTGGCTGACCAACACGATCACAATTGCACACGTGGCTCAGAGCATATGTAATAAGTAAAAAACGCGTCGACATTCTAAATATCGCCTATGAGCGGCGTGTGTTCTAATCGTCCCTTTTGTTTGACAGTTGGACTCGGAAGCCAGCGACAACCTGAAGGAGCTGCAGGTGAAACTCAACAACGTCCTGGATGAGCTGAGCCGCGTGTTTGGCATCAGGTACCGTATCACGAATACATTTGACTCACCATTGTCTCGCCTTTTGTATACCACTCGTGAAGCATTCGACTGATGAGAAATTAGCGGAGTCATTCCAGCTCTCGCAAACAAAGGCCTACATTTTAAATGTATTTATTTATTTGAAATTAATCAAAAACTACTTATTAATATGGAACAGCCACATTAAGGTTATATGAATAAAAAACCAATATACACATTCAAAGAGAAATCGGACAGGTTGACCTTCTTTCACCGTTCAAATGTGGCAAATTTTGACCGCGACAGCGGCAATCAGTAGCCTACTCTTGCGAATGAAGTCCCGGGATATTTAATGCCCACTGTGTAGCAGACGGCTCGTAGTGTTTATTACGGTGAATACCACACCGCAGTATTAACCAGAGCGGCTGCTGGATTCGAACCGTGAACCTCCTCAACAAGCAGCAAACGCGGTATCGCTGAGCCATGTCACCAGAGTTGTCTCGACGTATGTGCATGTGCACATGCACCGTTATATCTGTGGATCACCGTACATGTTTGTACGTGTGTCTCTGGAGCTGTACCGTGGAGCGGTAGTGTAGCAGTTGGCGAGCTGCACTACGAACCTGGTGACCCGAGTTTGATTCTCGCTCATGCCCAACACCAGTGACGATTATGTGAATCGGTCCTGGGCCTCCCTTAGGTCGACTCGGGCTCAAATGAGTACTTGGTGCGGTGTGTAAACATCGCCACTGGGGAGACAAAGGCAGCCGGGCATGGTGTTGGCCACCCACCCCCTCGTGTGCCGTTCCGGCCTTCATAGGTGCTACTCGCTAACAGCACTTTCCCCAAGAGTCTGTTAAGGCTATACGGAGGAATCTTTGTCTTCGTACTGACTGTATATTTGCGTTCACCTCCGTTTAACCCCAGCTTCATGCCGCATATCGAGGTGAGTGTCAAGGCAATGGGAGAGTTGCTGAGCCAGGTGAAGGGACCCGGCAACATGCTGTCGAGTGCTCGCAACACGGCTGCTCAGGATGCCGACATCATGCTGCGGCCCCTCATGGACCTGCTGGATGGAAAGTAAGTGCTTTGTAAAGTAAGTGTGCTTGTTAACGCAACTGACCATGCCCTGAAACAGCCTCCGCTTGTCCTTACCCATGGCACTCGCATCGGGCCTTTAGGAAAGCAGTCGGCAAGGGTGTTAAACACCGGCTGAAAATAATTGATCACCATTTTTTATTAACATTCCATGCCATTTGAAATGGATGTCAATTATCTCAGTATGTAATATATCTTATTCATCACCCATTCTTCTCGTGTTATCTGGGCGCTGTTATGTTCTCTCAAAATAGATTTCTAATTGAACTGCTATTTCATTATCCTGCCTACCACTTATCTCTTGCACACACGCAATGCTTTTCTGTCCCTGTCACAAACTCTATGATGGTATGTACACACCAATTAACACTCGCATAATGTCTGTTACATGCTCATTCTATATGCCCATTGGGGCTGCAGTGGTATCATTATTAGTTAACACGTTGGTCGCCAGTTCCATTACGTTTTCCATCGCAGCAGTTGACACAATGGAGCAAGTTTCTCAGATACCGCTGCCCTTCACCCAGCAGTATAAATGGGAACAGCGCACAGTCCATCGGCCAGTCGCGTGTGGTGTGAAAAGGGTGGCTGCACCCATCCATCACGTCTGGTCAATGTGGAAGTGTAGAGTTTATGGGTCTCTGTGTAAGTATATGAGTCTATATGTGAGTCTAAGGGTTTCTGTGTGAGTCTATGGGTCTTTGTGTGAGTCAGTGGTCTCTGAGTCTGTGTGTCTCTGTATGAGTCAATGGCTCTCTGTGTGAGTTTATGTGTCTCTGTGTGAGTCTATGGGTCTCTGTGTGAGTCTATGGGTCTCTGTGTGAGTCTATGGGTCTCTGTGTTAGCTCGTGTCCAACATGAGCATTTTCTGAGGGCACGAGTGAGATTCAGTCGTTGTGCCTGGAAACCAGCAGCTGGAATTACAACTTAGATATTGATTTATCGCTGCTTCTCAATTCGTATCCTTACAGACTCTGTGATATTCCCTGATTCTTGCACCCATTAACGCGTTTATTTGTGCTGTCTATGCGAACTCCCATCTCCCCCCCCCCCGCCCCGCATTGCCTGCTAGCCTGACCCTGTTTGCCAAGGTGTGCGAGAAAACGGTGCTCAAACGTGTGCTGAAAGAGCTGTGGAAGATTGTGATGAACACCATGGAGAAGCTCATCGTGCTGCCCCCTCTCACCGACCAGACGGTGAGTGTGTGAGCGGCTGCCGGCGCCGTGGGGGGCGAGATTCCGTGACACGGCCCCCCACGCGAGGCACCGCGACACGGCCCCCCACGTGGACCGTGTCGCGGTGTCTCCGATGGCGTCGGCGTTATTGTCGATAACTGCAGCGGCAGATTGTGTCAGAGTGATAGTGGTGATAATGATAATTATGGTCGGAGCATTCTATGCAAAATACAACGTGATCAGTAATGAGGTGACGTGCCTTTGATACTTCATGTTTTCAGCTTGACCGGTTTTGTGTAGTTGTGCATATCATATATAGCGACGCAATTAAAACCCTGCTACCTATGTTGCAGTAATCGCAAACACCACTACATACTCGCATTCAAGTGACCTACAGTCTTGTTAATTCGCAGGGAACATTTTGAAGTAAAAAAAAAGCTGATGAGAATAACATCCTGTTTTTATTGACTTGTTATAACTGTTTATCACTATTATAAGAACATACCATTTCCCTCCACATTTGTAAACATGCTTTTAGAGTATTTAGCCGCTGTAGATTTCTACTTGATGAGCCACTTCATTCAGCTATCATTTTTGGCTAGGTCACTTCTGAAAAGCGCGAAATAGCTTAGTGGGCCTTACCTAGTAAAATAAAAAAGCAGTTTATAGTTTTAACTAATTGTATTCATGTTCTTTCCAAATTTTTAATATGTTCTATTTCTCACGAACAATAATGTCAATTCCATATTGAATATTTGCACCATTCTTACAGCACAAGGAGATCATGCTCCTGTGCGTAATCCAAATTGGGTAATACACGGGTAACGTTTCAAATTCGAAACATTACCCTGAAACTACTGAAATGGTATTACAGCGTAGCAACAATTGCCCCCCCCCCCCCCCCCGTACTTGCAGGCCAATGCCCATGTGCAGGCCAGTGCTGAGTCGCCTTGTGCCACACAGGGACAGCTGCGACTGGGGGTGGGTCCCCTTCACATGTTTGAGATGGGATGTGAAGGCAGGAAATTTGAGTTGCCGAGGCACTTGAGTGAGTGCCATATGGATGCAAACATTATTATTGTTAACGTTATTATTGCACTGCTTCACGATTCCTACCGATCCACACTAAGCAGCGTGGTGGCTTAGGTTGCTGCATGAGGTTACATGAACAGATTTCCAAAAGTCGATGGTTTAGCGATGTCATAATCGTCTCAGGGTTGAAATCACAATTTTGCTGCACTTTGGTTTCAATGCAAACGCACGCACCATGCTGGTTACTTAAATATGTCATTTTCTTTGTTTCTTCTTAAATGGCTCTTGAACGGTGTTATGAATGGCAGATGATAGTAAGTACAACCATGCTGGGTGTGTATAAGCGTTGCTGCTGTTGAATGCTTGTCGGTGCTCCGTTGTGTAGTGTTTTGGCGCTATGTTGTGTACTGCTGTGGCCTGGTGCGCGGTTCTGTGTATGCCCAAAAGTCTTAACTCACTGTGTACATTCATACACAATTTTTATGATGTACAATATCAAATCCTGTGCTCCCCCTGAGCTATTTTGTCCTTTTTAACATTTTCCTGAAGATATTTGTAAAAATATTGACTTAACTTGCAAAATTTTGCAGGTTTTTGGAGCAATAAATTTGCGATCTCTTTATATCATGGATGGATGATGCTCGGCTTTGAGGGCCTAGTACCTGCCCATCTTTAACTGATGTGTGCATTAATTTGCAATTAAATGCATGTTTTTATATAAATAAATGAATAGCACTTGCCCTTTGTGGCATACGAATACATTGTACACTTAAGGCCATAAAATTTAAATATATGTCAAAAGTATGCAGTTACTTTTTTTACCATTGCCTTTTAAATTCCTCAGTACTATGCAAATGGTGACCGATTTGAAGGGCAATATTTGACGGCAACGCACGTTTTTTGTTACTCCGACTATTCGTGCAACTTTTGATGTTTACTCCAAAAATGTGGAAAACTTTGATTGAAGTTGCCGCTTCTTCAGCTGGTTTGTCTGAGGCCTAGTTTGAAGCTTGCTGCTTCTCCTGCTACTGCTCTCGTGGCTACTGTCTGTTGGGATTGTGCAGCTCAGCTGTGAGAAACCACCCCCTCGTCCTGTCTCCCCGTCGACCCCTCTCACCTGCGCTCCATGATTTTCCTCACCCCCCCTCCACCCCTCTCCTCAAGTGCACCAAACTCTTATGAATATTGCTGCCATTTTGGCCTTAATGGACACACAATTGAGTTATTTGCTATGTTTAATGAGATGTCAAAACGAGCATCGGCGACTTGGAGCCCCGTGGGTCTGATGTTACATTTCCACGCTCCGTGAGCAGCCACGCTTGTGAATGTTCTATCCCGTGCATTCTGAAAGTGCGCACTCTGTCACTCAGACCATTCGGAATTCAAATAAATTATATTCTAAGAAGTGTTTCTATGTCAACACCATTCATAATAACACATTTTAGAACAGTATTCATGGGTCCACTAGCATGCGCATACCCTGCTGGTTTGGCGATATTTAGCAGAACAAATTATCTTAAATTGTTTAACGTTCAAAAATAATGAATACACCATGCTCATGAAGCAACTTGTATAATAGCAGTGTTGAATACAAGTCAGGCTGAGGACTACGAAATGCAAATTATAACGATCAAAATGCCATATACAATTATATTTGGCTGGGACACTTTGCAATGAAACTTGCTGTAATTCGTATTATAAAATCCATATGTTCGGAGCATCTCAAACTACCTTGTGTGTTCAGTGCTTTTTGTGTACAGAAGCGTAATTGCTTGATTAATGGGCTCGAGACATGTCGTTATGCATGGAACATACTATATGCATCGTTGCGGGTAAATGTACTGCATGGAAAATTTTTTTTATCTTTAACATTTTCGATGACTTTGCTGTTGTGTTTATGTTCATAAGAGTTATTAGACCACAATGATTTGTGTCACTACATATTTAAGTACATTTATGGTATTCGCTAAGTTTAGTAATTTATGAGTAAGGTACGCTCGTCGCAAGTTGACTGTAACGTGCACAATGTGGAGTAACAGCCAAGCAGTGAAGGTCTAAATGTGAGGAATATGAAGCAGAACTCAATTATGCCAAGGTGGTAGAGCAATATAGAGGATTTGTAAATGAGTATTAAAGAACGCATATAATTGTGACATCTTTATTACACGTTTGTATTTGTGCGATAGTTCATGGAAATATATTGAAGTCCACCTATGCTTAACCAAATGTGAAAGAAAAAAAATAGTCTTAAAATTAAGCACACGAAGATTATTTTTAAACATTATGTAGCTTCTCGCAAGAGGCGATATAATCAACCTTACCTCTGCTTTCCCATGATCGTGCTTATTTGAGGCAGGCGAATGATGTTGATTTCAAACTGGGAATATGACATGCTCAATGTCTTGCCTTGGCTGGAGGCGCAGGTGCATTGATGTTTAAAAAAACATTATACAAATGTAACATTTTGTTTAGTAGCTACGAAAGATCATCGCCAAGGGCATTGTCTTGGAATGTCTCTGGCCTCACCTGAACGCATCCGAACACAGGTCTCATACGTGTGTGATGCCATCAATCTGGATATTAAGAATGTCAATGACGATTTGCTTCATTACATTGTTAAATATTCTGATTCTGAAGGTAACATGATGCCACGCATCATTCCCTCGCATTATTTGAATTCCCAAAAAAGGAAAGGTAAAAATTACTTTTGCCAAGGTGTGCTAATATCCTGATTTTCTTAAAATGAAGACTGCAGCCAAATTTTTTATTTTTATAATCATAATTTGTAAACACTACTTCCACACAGAAATAACTTTTCTATTAGCAATTTTCAGGCTTCATTTTGAAAGAACCACATTATTTTGCAATTGCATATATATGTATGGGTGTATAAACACAAGCAGTGTCAGTATGAAAAGACCGGCTTAGGTCTAATTCAAAACATATTTACAGGCTGATAAAGCTCTGTTGTACTGCACAAGCACATGTGGCCTGGAAGTTTGTGCTATTCTTTCCAGTAGTTTGATAGTCATCTTTGGGGTGTCTTCAGCAGCTCGCTCCATTCGATTCGATGGTCCATGCTGCATTATTTTCTCTCGGCTAGCGCCTGCCTCGCGAGGTAAACGCGCGTCTCGGCAGAGTGGCATAGCATTGCACTTGTTTTTACACGTGAAGATTACAGTTTGATGCCTTGGAGTTGTTTATTTGACTATTACACTGCAGTTGTATATTAATACTGTGTTTCTTGAAGACCAGTTCTAAAATTGTGAATACTGTACACTTGAAAAACACTTTGGTATTTGAGTGCTTGTTTTCCCTTACGCATAAGTTTCTGCCAATTTCTTGGCATATTTTTTCCACGCAACATTATTTTACTTCCCCAAACACCTCCTATACTGTATATTTGAAATCAGATTTCTATCTTGATAAAGGGCCTTTGCCAGAAATACATATGACTTTGAAATGATAGCGTTTTTATCACAAATCTGGTGACCTATGGCATCAGAGGTCGTATGACTATTTAATTCTCCTTAGCAGTTCTGTGGTCGTATGCCTGTGGTGGATCTTCAGTGGCTGGGATTTGCGTATGCTGTCTGGGTTAATTCCTCACGGTTTCAACAACAGGAAACTCTTCGTGGTGATGGTGGTGGTGACTGCTTTGCTCTTGGCACGCAAAAAATATGGCGGTGCTTTTTGCCGAAGGTTTTCCTTGCAATAGTGTGATCTTGTCTGCGTTTTCCTCTCTGAATTTCACGCCTTCCCAGGGAACACAACTTATTTTCAATGCCGCAAAAGAACTTGGGCAGTTTTCAAAACTCAAGGTATTGGTCTTTGGTGTTTTATTCTTATTCCTGTTCTTTTCAGTGTTGTTTCCTTTTCTGCTTTTGCGATTAATTCTTCTTCTGCTCTTGTGTTTAACGCTTTACAACGCAATAGTTGGTGTGATTGAGTGTAACGGTATTAATTCTAACACCCTTTTTAAATCTGATTGTGTCAGACTGTTTGGAGTTGCATGCTCTCGATTTTTTCAGCTGCCTTGGATGCATGAACATGCTAAGCTAATTTACCTTTATGAAAACAAGTACTGTGCTAACAACAAAGTATCTGCTGTGCAAAAAAATACAAAGTACGATAATTTTGTTAAATAAACTGAATAAGCCACTGTAGCATAACACAATACAATTTCTGTTAATTACTGAAATCCAAATCTTGGTGATTTAGATTTTTTTATTAAAAATCATAAATTTGCAATAATTGTAGAAGTTACGTGCACATTTAATTGTATATTAAGACATGTACATGAGGCTTCATTTACATCTAACCATTGCAATGTTTACCTGTGCACAGGAATTTCTGACATCAGCCTAATTCTGATCTGAGACAACATTATAACAGACTGAATTCAGGTCAATTTGACCTGCACATTGAATTCCGTAGCTTTTGTTAGAAAAGTTTATTTTCTAATCCTACCAAACGATTGGAATATGAATGCTTGTTCATATTTATAATACTTTTCCTGATAAAATTAATAATCTTTAAAAATATATATTTAATTGTATTTTTTTCCCAACAAAAAATATTTTTGCATTCAGCATTCACCTCCAGCTTTCTAAAGATCAGCAGGGCCTGCTTGGCGCGCATGTCGCATGGCCTTGCATGCCGTATCCCTTTTCAACAAAGCGAGACGGGGGAGTGCGCGGAGTCGATTTGACGGTGATCTCCCGCGACGACGTTCGCTCTGATTGCAGGAGCACATGGTGAGCACCGAGACGAAGAGCCTCACGCCCAAGCAGTGCGCGGTAATGGACGTCGCGCTCGATACAATCAAGGTTCGTCTCCGCTCCCTCATTTCCTCCGGCGGCGGCGAGCGACGCCCAGCCTTGCTTGGCGCCTCGACAGCAGCGACTAAGCAGCAGTTTAGAGCTCGGTCGTAGAAATTTTAAATAAACTCTTACCGAGTATTATTCATATTCTTGGTTCTTTAGGTAAAGTCACGTAGAAGGGAAAAAACTAATTATAAAAATATCAAATTCTCACGACCTTTCGAATGCAACACAAGCAATCATCATCAGGTGTGAAAAACACAGCAATACATTTTGAAAAAAGTGACGTTTTTTTCTTAACGTTAGCACCACGAACAGCCACTTAAAAAAAAATGATTGTTATGGTTTTCACACCTGATGATGATTGCTTGTGTGGTAATCGAAACGTCGTGAGAATTTTATTGTTTTAGTTTTATTATTTTATTATTTCCCTTCTCCGTGACTTTACCGTAAGAACCAAGAATATGAATCTTTGCAGTTACGAAAGCTTTAAATCGAAAAGTATGTCATGTAAACAGAACATGCCAATTCGTTACTAGTACAGCACACCGGTGTGTTGGAGAGCAAATCTACAACAATTACAATCTGAGTACGACGTTTCGCCAGTAATTACAACTCGCTTCATCAGACGGACAGCCATTTTTCTTCATAATCGTCTTCATAATAATATTTTATTCCAATAAATTAGTGCTTGGTGAAACACTTTCAGAATAAATTGACAGCACGGTGGTTATATAACATCATTTTCTGACAGAACGTGCGCTTTTTGGCATTGTGGATTGTACAGTTGTAATGTTTATGAAGGATTATGAAAGGCCTATGTGGAGTGAACCGCAGTTGAACACCTTTTAAGCAATCTCTATTTATACTTGAAGTACAATAATGTGATATACAATTACAAGGTTGAGGGAAACTGATAACACGTTATTTGTCAGTTCGTACATTTTAGTATCATATTGTGAAAAAATATAGAGTGGGAACACTGGTTTGCATGCAGGGAATGAGTCAACGGAGAATTGACGTGGTCCAGACCTTCCAATCCCATTTTTTTCCTCTCTCTCAGGGAAGCATTATGTCTACTACATGTGTTGATGATCCAATCAGGGAGTTAAATGGGCATTTTGATTTGGGTCTTGATGCGATGATTAAAATCAGGGTTTAGTGCTCGTAATGTGGTATGCAGTTCAGCATTTCAAATGAAGAGAGAGAAAAATAAGACAATGGTGCTATGTATTAATGCACAGATAAAATATAGTATGCACATCTACCTTACCCTTACACTCAATGATATATGCAGTATTGGCTCCAAAAAAACGCAAGTTTACAAATATGGGCATCTACTGCATGTAAACAAAAAAGCATAGATTTCCCATTTAGCCATATGGATAGATTGCACGATTGTCGTCGATCTCATATTTGGCTTTATGCAATAATTTTATTGCTTATCTAACACATGCTTAATATGACAATGTGTTGTTTGTAACATATATAATAACAGGTGCTTATTATGGCTCGTCATATTTCTCCTCCGGATTGTGCTGCTTCCATTGTACAATTGCGTCGTGTTTGGTCAACGTGCAGTTTGATTCGCACGCACATAATGTGGCAGACCTTTGATAACAAGGACAAATGTACGAGAAGTAATCGGCCCTATCACTTCCTTCACAATTATAGTTGTTTCCGTGCTGATATATTCACCATAAAAATAACCACACCGTCCGAAACTGATGGGATATTTTCTACTGAAAATGAACAGCTGGTTTTTCACGAAATGTGTGAGAGAAAAAGCACAACTGTCATGACATCAAAATGTAACTTTGAAAATGTACATGGATTTATTTATAGCAGTGACAGTGGTGTGATGCATTTTACTGATTTATTGTGTTTTTTCCTCTCTGTTGCCCATTTAGCAATACTTCTACGCTGGTGGGAATGGCCTAAAGAAGGCTTTTCTTGAGAAGAGCCCTGATTTGGCGTCGCTCCACTACGCCCTGTCGCTGTACACGCAGACCACCGACACTCTCATCAAGACCTTCATACAGTCGCAGATGTCGCAAGGTAGTGCTTCTTGTTCTGTGCTGGTCTCTTGAGCGATATTGTTTTTGCATTAAGCTCGCTCCTGTAACCTTCAAGTATACCACCACGTTTATAATGTACAAAAATATGTTCCATTTGGTTTATTTGCAGAAATAACTTTTTCTTCTTGAACGGCAGACAATTTATCACCGTGGATTCTAACATACCCTTTATTTTTAAGTATTGATGGCATGTACATGCATTTTCAATGTGTGACTTGTGTCTGTTCATGACTTTACTAATTACGAAGCCAAATGCGTGCTTATTTCACGTGGATTTTTTGTTTTGGTCATACCCTCGCATTCTGTTGGATGTCTACATCGTTTGGCGCAGTGCATGATGGAAAGGGGATTAGGGTGACGGCTAGTGAGGATGAGCCACCGCAAGAGGGTACGTGACCTGGGAGAGCTCATGCCGTCACGCACAGCGGTGTCAGGCATTGGCTTCCCAGTTGTAGCGGCCTCGTCTTAGTCAACGTCGAGTAGAAGACGACAACGCGGTCGTTGTGAGCGTGTGTTTTGTTTTTTGGTTACGCCCCATCCTTTGTTTCCATATCGTCGATGTGTATCCTCGCGGTTCGAGCTGGTCCTGTTCGTCTCTGACCACGGAGACAGACGCTTGGCTGGCCTCGCTCGGCGTGTTCTCACGACGGTCGTGCGTGCGGTTGGCTTTCAGGGGCTGGTGTCGATGACCCGGTTGGGGAGATTTCCATCCAGGTTGACCTCTTCACTCACCCTGGCACAGGCGAGCACAAGGTCACTGTGAAAGGTAAGCGACGACGGGGGGACCTCACCGCTGTTGTTGTTGTTTGGGAACCAAGAAGTCCGGAGCAGGTTTCGTAACTATTTAAATAAAACTTTACCAAAGATGTGCGACATAAAAACACACAAATGTATGTTATCTTTTACATAAGTACATACATATGTACAAGATATCTTTTGGTTTATTCGGGTTACGTCTTCCTGTGGGGCACCAGGCGTCACCTCCAAACGTTAGACATTGAAGCGTGAAACATTTCAAAGATTTGTGTTATGTTTATAACAAGTGTTACAAATGAGTGAACTGTCCTCTAAATATGTAAACGTCTCTCAGGGTGCCATATTTGTATGAGATAATCAAGCTGTTGTAATAGCTGTGCGTTTAAATATTTTAGTCAAATGTACAAGTCATTGGACCTGTCTTGTAGCCGTGACGAATGATATCACAGGCAGAGGAGGTGAGGCACGCCCATGGAATGTGACACCATCGTCACGGCCGAAGAGGCTGCCTCATTACCGCTGGGATTTTTTTTTAGTTAATTATTGATATAACAAAATAGGAATAGTCCGATGAATATTTGAGAGGTGTGCGTGCATTTTGGAGCGGGTGGCTTTGCACGCTGTCGAGCTCGTGCATTCAAAGGGCCGTCTGCCGTCCCACCTCTCCCGCGCAGTGGTCGCAGCCAACGACCTCAAGTGGCAAACCACGGGGATGTTCCGGCCCTTTGTGGAGATCAACATCATTGGGCCACACCTCAGCGACAAGAAGAGGAGATTCGCCACCAAATCCAAGAGCAATAACTGGGCTCCCAAGTACAATGAGACATTCCACTTGTGAGTACACCCCTCCTTCCATGTGCCAACGATGACTTCTTTCATAAAATTCATCATTAATTGATTCTCAAACGGCATTTTCACACTTATTTTGTTCGTAAAAATATAAAGTTTTAAAAGAAAAAAAAAGTATAAACATTTTTTTTATATATAATGTCAGAACGATTGTCTTGTTTGTTTAAGTTGACCAAAGCAATCTCCAGGGTGTTAGCTCTTGTGGTGTCTCATATCAGGGCTGTCTTCCTCGCTAGAATATGCATGAGGCTCCCGCCAGTAGGGATTTCACGGAATGCAATGTTTGCATAATTATACCCGGCAACTTAAATCGATGAAAATGCAGTGCAAACAACAACAAATGCTTTGTGCTGTATGGCAGTTATTTATTATGCTTGTAATTTACATTTGTGATCCTACTCCAAAGCCAGCTGAAGACATGCAGCCACGGTTAAAGAAATCCCTTAGTTTGCCCTGACAGCCCTTGCTTTGTGGAGCAGCCTGGAGGTGCTCACCGGCCAGAGTGATATTTGTATTACTCATCAAGAAAAAACTAATTATGTACTTCATTACAGCGAAATCATATCACTAGAGGGTTACATTGTTTGTGCAATGTGCTCCTGAAAACTGTATAAAATTATATTCTTGGTTTTATTGGTTTTTTTCGGTAAAGTCACGTAGAAGGGACAGACCTGGTCTTCACCTGAGAACGGCTGCTTGCTTTGTGGCCGAAACGTCGTGAGAATTATTTTATTATGTTTTATTTTTATTATTTTATTATTTCCCTTCTACGTGACTTTACCGAAAGAACCAAGTAGAAGGGAAATAATAAAATAAGATATTTTATTTTTTTATTTCCCTTCTACGTGACTTTACCAAAAGAACCAAGAATATAAATCCCTGCAGTCATGAAAGCTTTAAATCAATATATAAAATTACTTTCACGAACGAAATAAACTATTAATAATTACAGTTTATACCTAAAAATGTATCACTGTTATATGTTGTTGGTTTTTGAAATCCAAAGTAGTTCCCTGTTTATACAAAAAGCAGATCGTGGAAAGAATAACCAGATTATTTGTATTATTGCTGTATTGTGCAAGTCTAAATTGATTTAGTTCGCTTTGGGCTAAAATAAATACCAATATAAATGTGACAAAAATAGCATGTAACAAAACAACTAGGATTGCATTATAAAAAAACATGAGGTCGTGTAATGGCGTGTAGCTTGTAGCGTGTAGCTCTCGGCTCCAGGACACGAGGCATCTTGGATGTTATGGAGAAGCGTAGCCATTGTGTGCAGATAATTTAATTGAAAGCCTAGTGGCTCTCCATGCAATTTACCTGAAATTATTTGGCTATGGCTGTCATGAGCCTTTGCAAAGCACACATTTACTTTGTTCCCCTTGACTTTGTGGAGGTCAAAACGAATCTCGGCGTAGAGTCAAATCAGGCGTACTCTTTGAGTGCCTCTCTTTGCCCCCGTGTACATTCAATCACAATGCGCTTGTATGTGTGTCCTCTTGCTCACTTGCAGTATTCTGGGCAATGAGGATGGGCCCGACTCGTACGAGCTGCACATGTGCGTGAAGGACTACTGCTTCGCTCGGGAAGACCGCGTGCTGGGCATGTCGGTGCTGCAGCTGCGTGAAATCCAGGAGAAGGGCAGCTGTGCTTGCTGGTGCCCACTAGGTCGCAGCCTCAACATGGACGAGACAGGCCTTACTATCCTGCGCATTCTTTCACAGCGCACCAACGACGAAGTGGCTCGCGAATTCGTCAAGCTCAAGTCAGAGTCGCGCTCTAACGAGGAGCCCCAGTGAAACCAACCGCTCCCCGTTTGAGTCCTAGAACTGCCTGAACAGACCACCAGAGTAATCCTGTCTCTATTTTACAAGTTTCTCAGTCTAATGACAATTGCCTTGGTCACTCCACTGAAGGGGAGATGTGGCAAGGTGATCTTGCACTTAATAGCGAGGAAAAACGTGAAACTTTGTAAATTTTAACGTCGGTTGAAATCTTAACGTCGGTTTGATTTGTGTGTCCCGTTGATGATCGACACGCGGCAAAGATGCCAAGCCGAAAATATGAAGTCACGGCAACAGAAAAAAAAAAAGAACAGCGCAGTATATTCTCAATCAAAATTTATTCCTAAGTAAGAAAGTGCCATGGTTCTGTCCCGTTGTCTCTCAGGTGCACGTGTGTGAGTGAAGTTGTACACAGCCCTGACAAATCCGGTGACAGACGCTACAGTGGCTTGGAGAAAAGGCACAAATAGAAAGGGCAGTTGTGCCCAGGTGAACTGAGGTCCACCACAGCAAACAGAGTGTGGGGGTCTAAACGATAATGTAGTGTCTTTGAACAACGGGAATTCATACCAAAATAAAGTATTTTACATTAGCTTGAACATTTCATCAGGCACCTAGCATATCCTCCTACAATGTTTTTTTGCACACGCAAAACTTTTATTCAGATTGCTGTGAAGCACAGTTTTATTTTTGTAGATCTGAAAGTAGCACAGTATTAGAATGTTACAATGACACTGCATTTTACGTTCCTCACCTCTTTCTCTCTTTTGTTTTTAACAAGTCGAGGGTCCCTTCCCGTCCTTGAGGGAAACCTCACAGCGTGGTCAGACTGTGCCGGGCCAATCAGCGTCGTATGATTGTCTTTCCAGGACACACTTGAAGAGTGACTGCAGTAATTTTTATGTCGTTTCCCCGTGCGGAGGTTTACATGCAGGTTGACCCCCATACCCCCCTCGTGACATCGCGTTGTCGCCCCCCCCCCCCCCCCCCCAGGTGTTTGGTGTGGCACGTGCTGTTTTTGTGTGTGGCATTTTTCCCATTTGCAAAATGGCTTGGCGTGGAACAAACACCTTTGTGCTTGAGTGACCATTACGGAGGGTTTGTTAAGTCGTACTGAGGCCACTTTGCAATAGCTCCTCAAAAGGACTTAAACAAGGTAATGCTCTTAACCTGGGTGCATAAAAACACCGGACCAAATGTCGGTTGAAAGTCTTTCCTTTTGAGGTAATGGATTCTGTGAAAAACAGCCAAAATAGAATGTATGTTGTGCACTTGTACAATGCTTTTTTACGTGTCGCAGAGGCCAATGCAGGTTTAACATCGAATCATGTGTGCATTCCTTGTGTGCTGCAGTGTATGGAAGCCACAGTGTGTGCATGTGTTTTATCTAAGCCATCCAGTCATAGATTACACTTTTTAAAAAACTCTACGTGACCAATTTAACAGATAATGTGTATATATATCTAACAAACATATTTTTTTTTGGATAATCCAGCTGAAAATGCCAATTTTTTCAAACATGACCTTGATAGTTTTTTGTTGTGACGATTCACTATTGAGTAGAATGAAGAGGTACACTGCAACGAAACTCACCGAGGTTTGTCTTGGTGGTATTGCCAGACTCGGATCACAGTCCACACCGGAAGCAGCTAACGGATTGGTGATGGGTACAGGGGAAGTAGCTCGGACTGGAAGTGTACATCAGTGCTGTTTTGTAACTCGTGGCCAAATAAGAGCATATGTAAATTAAACATCAAGAACACGTGATACACAACGTGATTAAAACCACTCAACAATTAGATTAATTTTCATTGATTTAAAAAGTCGCCATTCCTAAGGCATATGAAGTAACCTACAACTTGCTGCATGATAATATGGCGATAAGCGTTTTAATAATTACAATTATCCTTACCTCCGATATTCAAATCAGGGTACATTTTAAACCTGTTTGTGGAATCACGTGTGTTATCAAACTGTAAGTTCCAGCTTTGTTGTGCACAGGTAAACCCCTAGATGATTTCCCATAATCTCCCAGTCGTTTTTATTACTCTGTACTCAACCATGTCTTTGCATATTTGTATCTCATACTGCTGTGCAGCATGGCTATTTACATTTATCACTGCATCATGATGCCTCATCTTTAAGTTGCATTGCTATTTCAGTTGATATCACTTGGTGTAGCAACTAATTCAGAACCAGTTTAATATTTTTCGCACTTTCCAACTCAATGGAGCAGTGGCTCAATTTTGGTTGTAATTATGCTGGTTTTGATTTTAGCACTTATTTGCTCTTTAATGTCTTTTTTGTGCACACAGTGTACATATTATTTAATCTAACACTAACCTTCGACTGAGATGCAATATACAAGCCACTCTGCATGTTTTGAGTGACTCCGTTAGCTATATATTTGATTATTTCTCTAAAAATCGTACATTTTCACGATCATTTTTCAAATGTCATTCCTGGATGTTACTGTCACAACATTTAGGTCATACCCTCATTCAGACATTCCAGATGTTTTCTTTTGAAGAATTGATATCAATGTCCATCTGTTTTCAAATGAATACGATATTCACGAGCATTTTATTTTCATCGGGGAGCACAATGCATAGAACATGTTGCATATCCACAATCTGACTCCCTTGGTCTCATCTGTATGAATTGCCTGCTTTGTGATTTGCATAAACCTAACTGCTTCTACAATACCCTACGTTCCACATTCTATTTTACCTTTTTAAAAAAACATACTTTTATACATTTTTGTATGTTGAACTTCTTTTGCACCGTGCGTAGGAAGTCCCCGCCAGGTTTAGGAAATGTTTACAGCTGGAACGTAAATTAAATATCAAATACGGTCATTGTGATTATTGCTAATGATAACAACGCTGATCTTATCCTTTCTATTGAAGTTCCCTTTCATAAATGCCATTACCAGAGATAGTTGTATTCGCTTAATATGCACCAAAATCACAGAGTACAAGGCAGATCGTTCACAAGTTTGTTGTCATGGGTTTAGTTTAGCTTGTGCCCTCTTTCCTTAATGTGTACACCAACTGAAGGAAACACATCAAACCAGATGATGTTCTCTTTGAAGTATGTGCCATGAATTAGAAGGTGTGCGTTATGGTCAAAATATTAACATTGCCTACAGTGAAATTACTAAAATAAACGTAACCTATATTTACCCAGGGCTGAGAAAATTGACAATGGCCTCCCAGGTTAAAGAGTAATTTATAAACACTTATTTAGATTATCCATGAATAAAGTATACAAAGTAAATATATTTCACGACTGTACACCTATATATGTGTCGTATATACAATAGATTTTATTTTAGATCATTAGCCATTGTCTATCTGCTTGTTTAAGACCTCCCCATGCCATCACCACCCCTAACAGTGCTGCCATTTCTGCAATCCTTTCCGATTGCAGAACGAATACATAATGAGGTTGCACTCATTGCTCACAGCGTCCTTGCCACAATACCCCTGCTGATCTCATGAACGAGCATAACCCATCACGCAAACTCCGGTCATCCTCGCAGCAGCCTTTGGCTAAGCATAGGAACAAAGACGGGCACTGCATCGCACGCTTTCAGATGCGCTTCTGCGGCCGTCTGGAATGCTTTTCCTTCCGATATTAGGAAGCCACTGGAGCTATGCACTTTTAAATCTATATTTAATTAAATTTCTTTAGAACTGCTTTTTGTGTATAATTTGCTGTCCTTCCCCCGCACATCCAATTATCACGGTTGGCTACTTACGGTGCGAAAGAGGTTCAACACGTATATACGCGCACTCTTTGATGTGAGATCATCTTGAAGGGTCAACTCCATCAGCCATAATCTATATGTTATTTTGATGTTTTCAGCTGGAAATCCACTCCTGTTCTTAATTGGTCGTCTTGAGTACACTTCCAGGTAGATATCACTGGAGGATCAAGCATGGTGCTGTATTATCATTGCTCTTTATGTAATTGATACGCAACGTTTTTCCTGGAGGATATTTTTGCGTCTCGGCTCTATTTAAATCAATAAATGAGGGATATTAACAACATATAAAACCACCTCATTTCCCTGGACATTGCCAAGATAGTGGTGCAACGACATGTCGGAATAGTATCTCAAATAAGACTCGTGAATGTGACATTATTGGTTGCATATTCGTTTCGCAAATTGAGACAGCGCCCCAGTCGCTGACCGCATTCACGAATGTCGTTCAAGATTGAGGAAGCATCCAAAGGCACGAAGTTAAATCAACGAGGCACCGTGACGTCCGCTCAGCGCGTCTCCTTGCACAGCTCCTTGCCAAATTGTTGCAGCAGTCAATGCCAAAATACTTCTCGCTCATTTCTCAATTTCGTGTGCACAGCCAGGGATTGATTTCTCACAAACTTCTTTATGGGTCTCTGGTAAACTGGAGTAGGCACGTGATGAGTACCCTCAGCCAAAGCAAGCGGCATACTGGATGTGGTGTGCCGGGTGCATAGATATGTTCAGTCTCACCGGCCCAGACCCAGCTGAAATGAGTACTGCAGTAAGGTAGCATGCAGGAATGATTTTGTAGCTCAGATTCGAAGCCCCATTTCGTTCATCACCTCGCTTTTGTGTGCGGCGTGTGTGTTGTTGTCAGGCTCAAATAATGCACAATGTGATTCGACTGAAGTCCATGTCATGAAGCTCGTGTGTGTGTGTTACGGAGGGTGGGGTTGGGGAGATTGCCCAACTGTTCATCTCGCCTCCCTTCCCCCAGAGCTGCTGACCCCCACCCTTGCTCTTCCCCTTGTTTATATCTCGTCCGACTAAATCATAACTACAAAAGAGGTGTATGATTACGACAGAACGCTTGTACCAGGGTAACAAAATATTACAAATATATAGCAGGCACCCTAGATGTTGGTTGGGTGACTCATAAGGGTAGTCCATGGCAGATAACTCAACCAGCATTGCTGAAGTTCTTTGTTAAAATCCAGGTAGCCACCAATGCCAAAATCAGGCTCTCAAGTATAGCAAAGTTGATCATCTCAAGCTGGTTACCAAAGGCTGTACAAAAAAACATCTACAACCTTGGGTTGTCACTTCAATCAACCTAGCCCAACAAGAGGGCTAACACGTATACACATATCAACGGTGGTGAACTCTTTACAGAGCGTGCAGATGGATCACTATTTCGTGGCTCGTAAAAGACACTGACCAATTAAATCTGTGGTGACATTCTGCAAGGCCAGTAAGCGATTATGTGACGCTCAGTTAAGTTTAGACATTCCGGATGTTTCATTGCCTGCTGGCGTTGCTCGCACAGGAGAATCATTTTTTTTAAAGAGTGCGCGTATTCTTGCAATTCCAAGATTATCTGGTGTGAAGTACTATCGTGTGATGTATCTACAATAGTGGGACCGTACAATATATATTGATATTGTGAATCCCTGCCACCATGGCATCTGTCAACCTCACCAAAATCTGAAACGTAAAGGATTGCTCAAAACGATATGTCTACATCACGTATTAGTATGTTTAGTAACAGTTCATTTGTGATGTTTGCTTGTTGTGGTACAGTATAATGCAGCAACACAAAAGGTGAATAATAAAAATCTGATTACTGGCAATCCGGAAGCCATGGTGGCTCACTCGCGAGTAATCCGTTAACTCGTAGATTTTGAGACATTCCACGCAATTGCCAACTTTATTACGGGCAGGGCACGAATTGCCAATGTTTCTATTGTAATTGAATTGCAAAACCAGTAGGCACTGCGACGTCCATACTTTCTAACTCGGCTTAAGCACAGCGCAGGAAATGCTACTTAACATCGGTGGGGAATTTTGCGCCACAGATGTCATCGAATCCAGTCTACAGCTGTGCCGCTGCTGTGGCGGCCTGCAGAGTCGAGTGGCTGGGATTTGCACGCAGTTCGGGTGTGCCTCCCTGTGGCTTCAGTAAATAACGTTGTTAGCCCAAGGCCTTATGTTAGCGGTGGCATCTACAATGTTTTTGTACGCTGCATTTGTCCCACTGAGTGAAGGGTCTGCTCTACATTTAAGCCACAGCATGCACTGGTGTGCGTGGTTATTGCTTTGTGATAATGGCACAAAAAATGTCTCGCATTGTGGGACTATTTTGAAGAAGAAAAAAAACCCATCTTTTGAGATGTGTGCTTTGATATCGAAAAAGGTGTTCGTTGCAGTTTTGTAGCAGTAGACTTGATAATAATACTACTTTGAAATAATAATGCTAGTTTTAAAACCTCACGAAGAAAACAAGTAGCGTAATTTTAAAACGAAAAGAAAATCCTAAAAAGTCTGATCACTGTGAAAATCAGAGGTGGCCTCTGGGCTTTTTCCTTTGGGGAAAATACAAACCCGGGCGTGGAGATACACACACAAACTGTGATGTCTGTCCCTGTTTACATTTGTTATATATGTACTGTACAACACATTACCTTTCTAAAAGCCTGTAGATATAACCTTTGTGGCTGTTTAAATATAAGAGAGAAAATATACTGCAGTATGGGTTTTTTTGGAGAACATTAAAACAAATTTTGAAGTATTGTTTTAAAGGCTTCTTTCTGTTGTCAAATTGTGCATTCCAGGTGGAGATGAGGTGTTGAGGGTTTACAGTTTTGTGTATCTTTGTACGGTCTGGATTTCTATAATATAGAAGATAGAGTGAATAATGATGTGGGAACTTATTGCCGAATCTGCTGTAGTGTTGCACTCCTGATTTGTCGTCAAATGCGCTTGTAATGAACAAAACTGCAAAATTAAGTGTAGAGTTATTTTGAAACGGATGCTGCTGCTTGATTTAATGTCGTACACCTACAAATATATATAGATGGGTACACGTTGAGAGCAGGCTTGCCAAAATCTTTCTATGAAGCACACACAACGTTGCATAACACAGCAAGCGGTGGTCGCGTGTGTGGTGCGTGTGGTGCGTCACGGGGCCCAGATAACAATGAATGCGCAGTCGTCGTCCCAGATTGTCACGGCGGCATAAACGTCGTTGTGTTTAGCTGGCTCGTTGTGTTGTCCACGATTCACTTACGCATGTTTGACACATTGCATGTTGCACAATTTACTACAATAAAACAGCTGATGTGGCTCCGGCTACTTTGTGGACTACATTCTTGTGCTCGCCTTCGCGGATGATTTATCTCTGTAGTCTCCGTATTGTCGTTGTTGCAAATGTGCCTATCACGTAAATATGGGGGGGTGGGGAACATATTTGTGCAGCAAACGTTCCGTTGTTCTGTTTTATAATTTTATGGGCGTTTTCATGATGTTACTTTGCACGGTGCGAGAAAAGTGTAGGTTTACCTGCGTTCTGTTTGGATATGGTTTTGATATATTCTCAGTATTTGTTATTCAGGCCATGGTTTGTAATTGCATATCCATCAATTTTCATCTCATCAAACGCCTCTGTAATATACAGCAGCTAGTCAAAATGATGTCTTTTATAATTGCAATCAGGACATTTAAATGTTAATTATATCTTTCAGGTTTAAAGCTTTAAAAAAATAGATGCTATTTATATATAAACCATTTTTTTGCAATGAACAAAACGCGTATCGACTGGGGAAGCCCTGTGCTGTTATTGCATTTTATATTTGAGCTGTAAGCGATACTTTTGTGCAAAATCTCTGCGAAATTTTTCCAGCAGAACATTTTCCGGCAGAATGTCGCACCCAGTAGCGGGAAGTGGCCGCGGCTCCGCGCGGTTCGTGGCGTCTCGGCGCCGAGTTCCGTTTTGTGTGAAACCGCGGCTCTCATGGCGAACACGCGTCGGTAGAGCGGTGTGGGTGGCGATGTTTGGCAATGCAATTACAATGCAGCGCCCTCTAGTGGCAAGACACAACGCCCCTAGTGGTATAAAGCATCACATGTATACGTCCTATTCTCGTGTTTAAAAATTAACCCGTAAAAACAAAGTTTTTCACGAAAAATCCTTTATATGCGTGGCGGCTAGAGTCCTCTCGTCCTCTGGCTTGAGATGGCTGCCACCTATGGGTCAGATTGCCTGCTACCATTAAGCAATTGGTAATTAAATATAATTTATTTTTTCCTAAAAAGTGTAAAATTTTGGGGAAAAAATTCACGAAAATAAATTGTCACGCACAACGAGTCTGTGTGCAAAATGTCAGTTCGATTGGATCACGGGAAGTGGGTTAAAAAACGACTGAAAGATTTGCACGGTCGTAAGCAAGCAAGTGAACTTAATATAAAGGATTTAAAAAAACGAACGTACTCGCTCAAATTGCCAATGAATGGCCCCTTTTTTACTTAAGATAAATTGTTGAAGTTGGTATATCGTCGTTTGAATTTTACCGTTACGTTCTTCCAAGTCGGCAAGATGGGGAAAGGCTTTTTATTGTGTGCGGGCTTACCAATATTACACGCTGTTCTGATAATAGATACTGTAACGGATTCCATAAAATGGAATCTTTGTTAAACGGTTCACACGTGGCCACTCAAATGTATTTGAACGCATTTATTACGCAGAATGTTAATGTCACAATGCCAACCGAGAAATATGATTGTGCAAACATACACGTAAATATGGCGATTTTTAACTGGAACACACTACTACTCAAAAGCCCTACTGACCACTGACAGATCCATGCAATAAAAAAATCCCTACAGACGCAGAGATGTTGCACAACGTGAAGTTCACGAAGACACTCAACTCTGCTCCAATACCAGCATGGCAATAACGCCCTGTGTACATTGTATTGTTCATTGCCATAGTGCATGCATTTTTATCATGTACTGTATGTAAAAAAAAAACTTACATTGAACATATGCTATGTTTACATGACACGTGTTGTATATATTTTATGACTTGCAAGATGAACACAGCACGATAGAAACGCACACGTGATGGGAGAAATTAATAACAACGTCAGGAACGATGTTGAGAACACGAGAGAGAAAATATACCAGGAGACACGAGAAACATGGAGGGTGGAGAGAGTGGAATGCTTCTGGATTTCCTGATTGCCATTCAGGGGGCTTCAATCAACCGGCAATTATCGCTTTTTAATTCTAATCAGTGTGGATGATGCTCGAGTTAAGGGAGCGTTTCGGCTGTTTGGCCTGTAAGTACGTTGACATTATTTCGCACCCGACATAGCTAAACCATGCTCGGCGGAGGTGCTGGACAGCACTTCTGTAAGCAAAGTCATTTAGCTGACCCGATATGACCATAATGTAGCTTTTCTAAGTGCTGTGTATTACATAACGGTGTGTATAAGATAGTAATTGTGTTGTTTTTGTGGTTACAAAAATACACGAACTACATTCAAGGCATTTAAATGTTTTATAAAGCATATTGTAGCAGCTTTTACATTTATTTTTATAGGTACAGAAGTACAAACGAGTTGAGCTGTATATTTAAACCCCAAACAAGCGTCGACAAAAAAAATTGTGCCCATTTGAAAATAGGACCTTAATCATGTTTGTTTAGAACCATTTTCCACCAATTGTTGCCACAAAGTCAAATTAGCACACTCTGGTGACGATTTGACAAATGTTCCACCAAATATTGGCAGAAATTAGATTTCCATCAACAAATTAACCTCGGCCCCATGGTGTCAATTTACAAGCGGCACCCACATTTACAGCAAGGTTTCTTGCCAACAATATGGATTTAAATGTTTACAAAAGCCAATATGCAATGAAAATCCCCAACAACTGAAAAATAATGTACTGTATTTTGGTCGTTACAAAATAAAATATCACGTACAAAGATGTAACACGAGCCACTCAACAATACATCATGGAAAACCACCACAATACCCTCACATGCCTCCTTTTGACATGTGCGTAGCAATTCGTTTATAATAGCAATCAGCCTTTAAAGGAGGTGAAAGTGGCGTTTGTATAATTTCACAGCAGCACAGAAACATGTCAACAGTACAATGATATTGCATCTATTAGAGATGGATGCTCTTACTGCTGGCACAAATTCACGTGTTCAGCTGTTCCCTATCAATAGTAACCTCAAACTGGGCAGTGCCCTGCCACTTAGATTTATTTTCTGCAGATCTGACATCCCCACAAGTGTGTACAACAGATCCCCCCCCCCCCTTGTCACCATGCTCGATGCTTCCTTAAGCCCATCGAGGGTCCTGCATCGTGCACCTCGATTTAAGCGCATTTTAAAACATTTTTGCCAACCGCTAACGGAATGGCCTATTTCAATGTGTGAAAGTAAAGGTGTATGGAAATTTACTTGTATTATGGATCACTGGTATGGTGTAGCCCTGCCACAATATTACTACAAATTGTGCGTATGGCGTTTACAGCCCTATCCAGTGGGGCTTCAATAACACGACATTTAGCATAGCCGTTAGAATTGATATTACCCGATAGATATCAACTAATTTAAGCTTATTTCTCTACGTTACATGGAATAATAATCAGACTGTGGCACTCTTAAGGATCAAGTTAACCTCACTGCAAGCTCATGGTTGCACATTAAAATTATATTAAGCTGTAAACCATGGTAAAGCTGCATCAGCTATTTGATAACGTTTAAGATCCAGTCTATACGGTACTTGAATAACGAATGTGTACAACATTTTAAAAGAGAATCACAGAATAAATTATTTTAATTGGGAATCTGGTTGTTGGTCAAGTGGAATTTATTCAAGACATACATTTAAAACTCTTTTTTAAAGACTGCCATCAAATAGTTGTTTCCCATTCAGCAAGCGGTTTATTTAACTATTGCATTTAAAACATACGGCACATCTTACCAAGCTAATTTGACGTATTCATATTTCATATTGCTACCAGATTTACCAGCACGATAATGCTTGCTTGGTGTATCCAGGACTGATCAGTACATTTACAATACCTGAATAGTTGTCATTGTAATTTAATCTGTCTCCTTTATCCAGTATCATTGTTGTGCAATCCTACAATTATACACCTATATACTGCAAAGTAAACTAATAATACTTTGCCAATATATGTACAAAGCATGACTGAAGATCATCCATGAACTCCATAATCCTCAAGAACGATATCGTTGTATCACGGGGCAATATATCCCAGATTAAACAAATGCAGCCACTTGTCTCAAACATTGCTATTGAAGCACAGCGTGACATTCAATGTAGAGCCCTTGAAGAAACCACAAATCTAATCCTGGAATTACTTTCATAAGATCTATTCATCCTCTTCAAACGATGGGAAAGCATGACTGTTCATTGCACTTGCTTTGTACTATGTGTGTAACTTCTCTCGCACCGTACGTAGCCAACTGTGCACCAATCAGAGGCGCTCTCTGTTTGGGAAATCTAATTTCATTATTTCACTATAATAGTTTGATTTTCTCTTGCGATGAAAATGTACACCTCAAGCGTATGCTTTCCTTCCCCGAAATTAAGGCACACACTCATTCCAGGCTTGTGAGAACACTCAATAAGGCCATTTCATCCATCGCGTCTGCAATGAGTGGAAAAACTGCAATGAATCACACCGTTATAGCAGGATGCTTGTCATGGCAATCCCATTTCCCACTTGTTATGAAATCAATTAGTTGTGCTTCTTTGTTTAAAGTGACTTATTTAAGTGACATCACAAAAATGACAATGTAAACAGTGTAAAATGACATTATATTTTAGTTGATGCTTCAAGACATTCGATCTTAGTTGATGTTTCCATTGATTGTAAGCATTTATACTTTGCTCTAACCAGTCGGACCACAAAAAGTCCCTTCGCACACAGCCCAAAAATGGCAATTCTAGTAAATGTTTACCAACTTACTATACTACAGTAATCCTTCAGAATTCCTAGTTATTTATTATTAATCACTAAAATTGTTTAAATTTCGGAATGTTTTGATTTATTTATTTTGAGCCGCAGCAGATTGATCGGTTGATGCCAATAGAATACTTTTAATGATGCAGTGGTAATTGTGTAAAGAGCAGACCCATGGTGCGGGTGCGGTGGAGGGTGCAGAGCTGGGCAGCAGCAGCAGCAGCAGCTCCTCAACACGTCCCACACTTCTTTTCGCTGTCCGCCTCGTCCACCTCGTGGAGCTTGTCTTTCTTGTTCAGCACGCCTTGAGGAATCCAAGACTTGTCAATACAGCGCTCCATTCGTTTCATGATGAGGCCCAGAAGTGTCTCCACAGCAGGCACCACGTTGTTTCCCGTCCTTGCGCTCGTCTCAAAGTAGGGCATGCTGCGGTTGGAGACACGAACCGTTCGTGTTATTTCCAGATAAATACTCCGCAGGCATTCGGACTCCCCCGGATTACATTGGCGGCCTCATTGGATTTTGCTGACGATGCTTTGTGTAGCCTCAAGCGAAACGCTGCATATCATCAGATGGCCGAATTTTGTTGCGAAAAATGTTGAAACTTATCAAATGGCTGAAAGACTAAAGTTTGTAATGTTCAACGTGTGCGCGTGTGACAATTTAAATTGTTTGGCTCTGTCGAGTGGTGGAGGGTGCTGTGACAGAAATGGGGCCAGATCATTACCCAACCCAAAAAAACCTATTATGGATCATTGTGTTTAAAATTATTACATTTTACCAATGTTTGTTTTGCAATGTTGACCTGGGTCAGCACGTGATACGAAATATGTACTATTGTTGTTGCAGGGTTACACGACATCCTACTCTAAATCGGACAGCTTTGATGAAAATTATTCAGTAATACAAATACTGTAGTGATGTACTCCATCCAATCTCGTCATATCTCAGCAGGTGGACAGCGTTAAGCCTGAACAGTGCTTAGATGGTTAAATGCGTATACATAGGCTGTTTCTGTGAGCAGCCTCACCAAGCTGCACTGACCACCATGGTGAATTCTGGCCAAATCATCCCCAAGACCAGGCCAACAAGGAGAGGCCCTTATCCAGCAGTAGATTGAGAAAAGATATGGACGTTAAAGGGTTGGACTGCATAGTACGCTAAATGAAGAGCTACAGCCGGGCAGTGGCGCGTTTGCCGTTTGTTGCAGAACTTTGTGGTTGGAGGTCAGTGGCCTGGTTAATCCTGCGGGTGCATTAACCAAGAAATATGCACAGTCTGCTTTAAAATGGCCGTCAAAGATCCAGTGACGTTATAAAACAAATAAGAGGTCATGTGCATGAGAGTCGTGGTCGAAATTAGATATTTCCTTAAAAATGAATTTGGTAAAAAAAAAAATCAAAACAACATCGCCCTCTACTGTCAGACAATACCCGTGTGTAGCCTTCACAATACCCTTGCACTATAAGAAGTGCACAAATACCAAGTGTAGCCAATCATCATTGTAAGGAAATACCGTTGTACATTATTTTGTGGTGCTGATATTACAGTGGCACGTGATCAGGTTATGGTGGCAATGGTACATGTTATACGGCCTTGGACCAGTGGCTCACATTCCACATTGTTGCTGGCTGTGACCGAATCTATCCAAAGGACAACCATCGCTGATTTCCCACAAAATGTGGCGTCGTTTATTGATCGACCCTGGTGGGACGATAGGCTGCAATTTAAACTCGCAACCTTCCAATTGTGGAGTCACACGCCATACTGCAAGTGCATCGGTGGCAGAGGTTAAATAGTGCACGGATGGCCCCTTGAGTATTACCAGTGCAGTACATGACCACAGGCATAGCCTTACCCGTGCTTTTCGGCAAATTCTTTGGCTTGCTTTTGCGTAATGTTGTGCTCCGAAAGATCACTCTTGTTCCCGCACAGCACAATGTCCGGGCTCTCACAGTACGCGTGCATCTGCAGCTGGTCTGTGGGTTCAAGGACATGGTTCATGTTATTGGTGCACTCGCTCCAGCCACGAAAAGCTCTGCTATCTGTTGAATAGCAAAGCACGGTATATGGGCTGGTCTCAAGTGTTACATCGATGTAATCACTACATAGATTTCGGGTAAACGTCTGTGTTTATCATTATGATTATACAATTTTCATTTTTTGTCCATACACTTATTTGTATCCAGCCGTTTACCTTTAAAATAGAAACGGTACAACATCGCATATCCGACTCTCTGGAGACTGAGGTATAGAGGGGATATGTGAAGAGGTCATATGTCAACTCTTCCATAAATAGGATGAAACATTAAGAGAAAACTGTATTAGACATGGGGAAATGCTTGACTACACCATAGAAGTAAATTAATTTACACAAGATGAAAAGACATTACATTAAAAACGAAATGTAACTGGTATAAAAAAACACCCAATGCTGAAAATATACTTTCCAATTACTCGATTGGATCACACAACAGCCACATCACCCCCTCCTGGAAAAGTCTGGAAACTCTGAGGCTTTCCTGAATATACGAGCAGAACAATACAAATAGTGAACGTCGACATAAAATGACAGTTAATCCGTAGACAAATACTGCACTGAGTGTGGCCTGGTGAATTGATCAGAGCGGATGTGACGCACTGCTTGCACCAAAGAGCTCTTGCTTAATGAATGTGCCTATAATGAGCTCAGCAAGGAGCATCCTAACACAGGATTGCTCATTCCCGTGTATTTTTTTTTAATCGGTGGTGGGAAAATGAGCCACATGGTTTGCTACAGGGGCTTGCCTCGTTGTTATTGAAGGGGTACCACCAACAATAACAAGAACAACCACCCTTCACCACTAAGTGGTGGCATCACGACGGCTGCTTGTGCCAGGCTAGGTGCACTAGCCTCACACGCCTAGCCTGGCTAGGTGCTAGTGCACCTATAAGCAGGGTAGTGAGACAGACACATATCAGATGCCTTGTAAACAACTGCCGCAGCCAACTCATCTATCGCTTTTTCAGTACTACTTATAAGGTGTCCCTGCGGCCTGGGTTCATGACACCCAACACGCTTCCTCAAATAATAATCATTGAAGATGGGGGAAACAAATATTCGGCAGATGTGTTCATCGGAAGACGTACAAACGGGCTTGTGCAAGCGAAAGATGAGGAAACATGGGTTTTGTTTTACTCACTCAGCCAGTTACGAACGTTGAGGAACGTCTGCTCACTGGTCAAATCGAAGATGACCAGGAAGCCCATGGCATCACGGAAAAATGCCGTAGTCAAGCTCCGGAATCTGCAAGGAGCACATTGCACGAATGGACTCTCTTTCCGCAAGCTACTACAGTACATGGAAATAATATCACAGGCACGTCATGCAGAAAGGATCTCGGGGCGTAGAATCGTATTCGCGGATCGATAATTGTATTGTTGTTGTTTCTCTCTACCAGTACCTCTCTTGTCCTGCCGTGTCCCACAGCTGGAGGTGGACGCGCTTCGTCTGCTTGGCGGTGCCCTCGGCCCCTTCACTCGTGTACGTCTGGAGCGCACACAGGACACGATCTACGTCATTCGTACGTACGGACGTGTGTTGAACTTCTTTTCGCACCGTACGTATCCAACCGTGCTAATCGGAGGTGCGGGGGGGGGACAAACTCAACACCAGAAGCAGTTGTAAAGAAATTAGTTTTCAATCTCGATCTGGAAATCTCAAGTGGACAAATAAAAGTATACTTTCTTCTAAAAACAATTGTTTTTATCCTACTTACGAAGAGGACACGAATACAAACAGTACATTTACATTTTGTTGAATAAATGCACTGGGGATGCAGTGAATATCTTTTGGAAAACGAACTGTCGTAAAATGTAAGGCACCAATATGCCGACAGAAGATCTAATCAGTGCACACTACCCACGATGACATTTGTATCAGAAACACGGTCACTAACGAGCAATATTGAACAAAAAAGTGCACAAACAAGAATCAATATATGTATAATGAGACAGCGCCACCTAGGGGTGACAAGGGGTATCTGAATGGCCACCACTGGGTAATCGGTATCCACGTTCATTACATATGCATGATGGTAATACATTGAGATACAAAGCGGACCGCGTGCATTAGAGGACAAATGAAAGTCATGTACGCATTAACAATGGTTACCATGGTAACTTAGCTGCTTGAAACCGTCTCAAGTACGAACGAATTAATCTACAATTATCATTTTCTCATAACCGACAATTATCTTAAACATTTCATAGGCTGTGTGTTGTTCGAAAGTGGGGAGGGGGGTATGTCTCCTGGGCTATTGTTGATCGTGTGAGTTCCAATTTAATGTCAAGCAAAACGAAGTTGCACGAAACCACATGCAACCATATGCAAGCACAACCGCCTCGTAAACCGCCGACTAAACACGAGACGTCGTGGCCAAGTTGGTCCAACGATTCCAACCACGTTCCTCCGACTTCTCCCCCTCCTCTCCCACAAGATCTCTCTCCTCCAGTCCTGAGCCAATCGTGCCCTGCCTCCTCCCCCTTCCCGGGCTGCTGTGTGCCCCATCCCCTTTATCGAATTAATTTGGGGCATAATCTCCCGAGACCTCCCCGAACCCCGACGCGTCCCAACACACCCCCCCCCCCTTGCACACGCTTACTTACTGGGCAGTTTGTCAATCCACTGCTGGATGAGGGGCCTCCCCACACGGCATGGGAAGTGGGGCTTACTTGACCATACCTGGACCTCGCTTCGCTGATAAGTGCGCGTTGGTGGATGCGAGAGGAGCCCAGACATGAAAGCATGAAAGTACAGAGTAGCAACTTGTTTTTTTTTCTGCACTGCCTTCAATCACCCACCGCGTAGCACCACAGCCCAATAACAGCCGGCCTGTCATGGGGTCAGGGGTCAGCAACCTGCGGCTCCGAAGGTGCATTGCGGCTCTCTTCGGACGACTGCTTCGTGACCTTCTTCACCACCGAGGGAGGTTTTTCCAATATATATACCGAATTTGAAAAAGAAGTGGCACTTCATGCCATGTTGGTTGCCGATCCCTGGCCATGGTGTGGTCACCACCAATGCCAGCACTACCCAGGCACATGCCCGCTTCATCGGCTCAGATGAGATGGAGAATGGGCTGATTCCAGGTGATTTGGTCACCCTCATCTTGTATCTAACAGTGATTAACTGTTAAATGTTTATTGCAGGATTTAGTTTTGGATTCTTTTAGAGACAATGGAGGGTTGGTGCAGTATAGTCCGACTGCTGCCTAGAAATGCCATTGACAGTCACAATATAAATGCTATTTTTGAACAATTCTTGCTCACTTCACTGTAACATGCAAAGCAGAAGAGCATTTTTGTAAAACACAAAGAACATGAACCAAGGCAAACATTGCTGTACAAGCAAAACATGGGGGATTCAGGTTGTGAATAAGTACAGTAGTTCGGGAACCCTTTGCGTAGCAAAACATAATTTTTATGTGATTTATAAACGATACTTTGGGAGAAATTAGTTATTTTTATTTTAAATACAATTTTACATAAACATTTGAAGAAAAAAAATAGATTTTACCATACCAAACATTTAAGGTAATCCTTCAATAATAACAATTGTAAACTAATGTAAGGCACCATCATTATACAGCGTTGAGACACAATATAACTTATCTTATCTGTGCTGATAAGGGGGCGAATTCTGGGTACATCCTTTTGTCTGGCCGTGTTATTCCCGTTATGCTGAGAAAGCACGGATGAATGTGGATTGTAGATTTATTGTCGTGCCACTTTGGGGCTACTGCACTTATCTGCACTTTCTTACAGACAACAGGATGATTGATAATACTTGTGGGAAACCACTTGCAGGTTCAGTCTGGTTGGGTCAAACTCGATGGCCATTGGAATACATGCGATGACAATGTTCACGTTACTCCAGTTATCCGTGATTTTGCACGGATAATACAGCAACTACATCTGGGCGACTGCAACCCACAGTGAAACATCGCCATGTGTGTGTCCTCATTGTCATCACTACTGACACTGACCCGCCGGGCCAGCCAAGACAAACTCCACAATAACCACAACCACCAAGACCACAACAACCAAGACCACAACCACAACAAAAAAGATAAACAAAGATCCCCCATATAGCCTTAACAGACTGTAGGGGCAAGTGCTGTTAGCGAGCACCTATGAAGGCTGGAACGGTACACGAGGGGTGGGTGGCCAGCACCACGCCCGACCGCCTTTGTCTCCCCAGTGGCGATGTTTACACACCACACCAGGTACTCATTTAAGGCTGAGTCGACCTAGGGGAGGCCCAGGACCGGTTCAGATAATCGTCACTGGTGTTGGCCGTGAGCGGGAATCGAACCCGGGTCGCTAGGTTCATAGCGCAGCGCGCTAACCGCTACACTATCGCTCCCCACACAACAACAACCACCAAGACCACAACCACCACCTTCACGCTGGTATTGGGACGAATTTGCCGCCGGAAGATCTTCCTATTATTTAATGTTTTTTTTGGATAATAGAAGTTGTGTAGATATATTATCTTATTATCCATGAAACATGGATTTAACACAACAAAAACTCCTCTACCTGTGATTTTCCATATCCACCAAGCCACCTCCCACTTCACACACGCTCTGCATCGCTTGAAGCTTCGGATGGCTTACCATTCCTATCAACGGTGTGTATCCCTTCGTCACTTTCATTACATGCCATTGCTTTGTTGTAAACTCGAGCCATCATCACTGACTATTTATTTAAAAAAACATTACGAATTAGCGGTCCAATTAATGGACAAATCGAATAAGGAATGCAAGTGGCTTGTCGGGAGTTTCTTGACATCTGGTGCAGGATGTTGGGGTGGCTATTTTTAAAAGGGCCCCAACCTATCTAATTTGTAGTCGACTATCAATTTCATGAACTGCTTTTTGTGTTTAGTGTATTGTCCTTCCCCCGCAATGAAAGAAGTTTAACATACAATCAATTACCCATGACAGCTCCATGGTACACACATTACCATATTGCAATGACACTCACACAACCATAGACCAAAATGTTCTTTGTTGCGTATTGTGCAGGAGTCAACTCCCTCAATGTCATCATGATCAATACAGCAACGCAGTAAGTTAATAACTTTCCATAAATGTTATCCGTTTACGACTTCAAAATATCAATACCCTCACCGTAGTTTCTCAGCAGAGAACGTAGAATTAAACTGTACAATCTCCTCAATTGAATTGTACGTTAATGTTTAAAAAACAATCGTCAAACTATTTTAAACGTTTATAACCATTTACCGTATCTGCAGTGACATAGAGAATACTGTTATGTATACAGAAAATATCGCTTGCCATAAATTAAGCAAACCGCATATTCGAAAACACACCTGTTCATTTAATTGCACCCATTGTGCTGGGCTTATGTTTATTATGAAATCAGAAAACATGTGCCAGAACCTGCCACCACCTTGTCATCTTCTCACCGACCACCTCTACCCTAAATCTTATCCTCACCTCTTCATCCCTCCTCGACCCCCGAATCTTACCCTCACCTCTTCGTTCATCCCTCCTCCAGCAGTGTCATCTCGAGTTGACCACACCGCATACACAAAGGCCCACAATCCCCCCCCCCCCACAGTTGACAGGAGTGGCGTGTACTGTATTAAGACAACGTTGAAAAACACCGTGCTCAACACGAAACACAAACATCATAAAACGTGACACGCGATTCCAGGGGAACGGGTTTCCCAACAGAATCCATTGCTGAAACCCCACAGGTAGCAAGAAACCAGGGCACTCAAAAACACAAACTGCTTCATCTAACTTTAGGTCGTTTAAGTAGCAGTAGAAATACAACTGTAAGCATTAAGGAGAATAAAACCCATTACTTTCACATCCACTATTTCTGGTCACATGTGCATTGCGTAAACTCATTTAATTCGTGTTTCTGTCGCGGAAAAAGCACATTCTTTTACACGGGAATACCGTTTACTCTGAGCTTGACTAAAAACATGGGCAATGGTCTTTTGCTGTTATATTTTTACCGATAGTCGGTGAAGAATGTATGTCATGGGTGCTATGAATAGTGCTCAATTCAACTGCAGCCCACGGCAATCATAACGTGGGATTGTTGTAAACAGACTTGGATCAAAGCCACATCTATGTGAAGCCACGTCTATGTGAAGCCACATCTATCTATGTAAAGCCACATCTACGCGGCTTGACTCACGACAGGATTGTGGTCATACACTGCGACAACATGGACAGCTCTTGTCAAATCAACTGGTCAACAACGGGGGCCCTGCCGTGCTGTGGGAATCGCACGACAGACTCCACCACGCCGGCCACTCTGGGCTGGTGAGGGCGGGGGAGTTTATAAGTACAGCACAACAATTGGCTTGTCTTCACTGCCCTTTGCTAACCGCCACAGCGCAGCCCCCTATAAACAACCTATATGGGCACGGTGGCTGCCCATCCAAACACCGTCCAAGCTCAAACGTGCTTGGCTTCTGAGATCTGACAAGAACAGTCATATTAGTATGGTTCATTTGGTCTTCAAAGGGCAACACACTTGACCCTTTCCCGTTCCGAGACGTCTGCAAGTTGCAAGGCGTGGGTCCCTTTCACCGCTAAATCTCGGAACGTGCATGCGGCTCAGGCGTTAAATTTCATTTAGAGAGAAAGGCGTTGTGCCGTGTTTTTTTTCAAACGTCGTAATCGCCGCGAAGAATCGCCACACTCTACGATAGCTGGCGCCAAACTGTGCCACACACGTCCTCCGGCTTGGCCTGGCAGGAGCCTCGGGCACCGATAAAATTAGTTGATTTTAGTTTTTCTTCCGGTTCCGTACACGTGCGCCGTGGGAATGTTGAAAGCGTTAAGAAGGGGTAGTGCCCCAGGCCTGGCCAACAAGCTCACCACGCGTTTCTCACGGAAGTCGATGCCCACGGTGGTGACGTACTTGTCGTGGAAGCGCCCCTCGGTGTACTGGCAGAGCAAGCTGCTCTTACCCACACCCGAGTCGCCCAGCACCAGCAGCTTGATGAGGTAGTCATACTCCAGGTCGGACATGGCTAACGGCAGGGGCAGGACTCAGGCTGCTCCGGCAATGCTGGGGGGAGGAGGAGGAGAAGGAGAAATAATTTCGTGACATTAGACGTGATTCATCTCACAAGTGGGCGACGTGTTGCCTCTTAAATGTCGCTCTGTAGATTGGAGCTGAGAGTCAATTATTTTTTTAACAATACGATGTACAATAGTCAGGATTCAGACGACAGTATGAATGCGGGACTCCAAATGATGCGATTAGTGCTTGGTAACCTCAGTTTGTGATTTGTATTCACAAATGTGTCGAAGGATATAAATACAAATGTTGTCTCGCGTCATCATCTGAAAAGCCTGAAAGCTCAAACATGTCAACCAATGGACCGGTCGAGGACCAACGAATCAAGGCTCAAGCACTCCAACAACGAGAGCTCATCCAGAGCGAAACGCGCGGTCTTCTCAAGAGAACTTTGAATGCTGAAGATCGATGTTCTTGCCCTCCAAGAAACACACCTACCTGAATCCAACCCGTGCTGTATGAAGATCCATGGATGTCACAAGGTAGCCTGCCAATACCATAAGAAACTCAGTATGGCCACATATGTCCAGGCTAACCTAACTACCCAAGCTAAAGAAACACTGACAAAAGAGAGCTTAAGACAGCTTACCATTTTCGATCACAATTAGAGTAGGCAAGCTGACCGTCGTGAACGTCTGCTCGCCTCCGACAAGAGTCATGGCCAACTACCGTTCTCCCAACCACTAACCACCCAACCAGCTGCATCGGCAATTTCAACAACGACCACGACACAGGGGGCGACCAAAAAGCAGCCCGAGCGGGCTAACAAGTCGAAGACTGGGCGCTGGCTTCTGACACTCACCTCACCTGGGATGCCAATCAGCCAGCCACCTGCGTCTGCTGGCAGGAAGAATACTCATCGGAACTCTCCAGCAACAGCAAAGGACGGTTGCTCACCTGTTTCCAGAAACTCCACTCATGGAATAAATAAAAGGTGACCTTAGTAAATTTAAATTTTCAAATAGTTAATAATGAAAATTTATAAAAATTAGTGTTGCTAGAACAAGCCTATTGAATTAAGTAGAACGTTGTTTATATTTAAAGTTGCGCATTTTCATGTGACGTCACATTTCTCAAACCCCCCTCCCCCCCTCGTCACACATCGTCACAAATGTCTGACCCCCCTCCCCCCCCCAGGTGCGTGACGTCATCTATGGACGGCCCCTGAGGGATTGTGACCCCAAGTGCGACTGTGGCCATGAGTCCCAGACCGTGGAAGACATCGCAACAGCAGCCAGCCCACTGGGACCTGGCGGTGTGTGAGGGGCTCCACCTCTCTCTCCCTCTCTCCACCTGGCATCTCAGGAAGCCACCGAGTGGATTGCCAAACCACGCGTCCCATTGTGAGCTTTTCTCGTCATACAAAACAACATTTTGAAGAATTTAAACTCCGCTTTCAGGATTAACGTACAGCATTGCACTAAGTGTTAGCTATGCATATCATGGTTACGTTTGCATTCCGTGTACACCTTGTGTATTCCACTGAAATAATTTTCCTACAAAATTTACAATCAATTCTCCATCTGATCAACAACCATTTTTCCTCAACCATAAAAATTGAATAGAGTTCACACGGTGACAATCCATTGGGCCTAAAATACACTTTCGTTTTCTTAAAAAAAAATTAAGCCGTTTCGCGACATTTTCTATTGCTGCTGAATAGGCAAGCCACTGCCTTGGTTGTTGTACAGAGTTGACCGTAAATGGAATTGATTCTTGGCCAATAAAGTTATGAACACCGCCCGGTGAAAGTTAATTAAAGCGATCCCATCGGGTCACATTAAGTACTGCTCCAGCAAACATTGAACGTTGAGCCAACGTTGGTCCAACCACATGTCAATGCTTCGCCCAACGTTGCATGTTTACCATGGCTGACCTCTCCCAACTCTCCCACCTCTCATTGTGGCACGGCACTTCATTTGCATCTCAAGTGGTGCCCGATGGGAAATAAATTCGGGCAACCCTGGCACCAACATTGGAGAAACGACTTCCGTCACCACTGCTGAACATTTAATCGCTTTTTCAACAAAAGTAGAAATGTATTGTAATTATGGAAAGATAAAAAAGACGAGTTGTTCATTTTTAAAAAATTCCCACACCCTCATTAAAAAAATCACGATGTTGCAAACAGTACAGTACTGTACTTGGATTCAAATGCTATTTTAAAACAAACTAATCAGAATGTAAATACTGTACAGTACGGACATAACGTACAGTACCGCACTTGTAAAGAAAATATTACCTGATCTACAAATGTAAATAAACCTTGCATCTCAGTGACAATCAATGGTTCATTCCTTCAATGTTGACTTTTTTTCGTCAATAATACTGGCATCTCATATTTAAATCTGACATTAAACTCGTTGTTAAAGACAGAAATTAAAACATGTCCATGCTAAAAGTTAATTACCAAAGTAGACCACCTGCAAATCAACGGTGTAAAGACGTGTGGTCGTGCATGTAAGTAGACACACACATGTAAATAATACTTTATTTTACAGGATGATTTGGGCGTGACACACACCTCACACCGAGAGGAACACGGTCTAAAGTGCGTCTTCCATTGGTGATGCCACAGAACAACAGTTTGTTCACTGCTCAGTCGTCCAGTACCTCGTCACAGTACGAGATAGAAGCTGGTAATAATCCACACTGATCCCATGGCTCCGGTATTATGTTCATTACTCAGCCACAAACGTTTCGCACAGCGCATAAGCCACGTCACGCAATATTGTGGTGACAATGTTTTTTTTTATTTCCGAGTCAAGTTGTGATGCTATAATTAAGTCTTCATACTAGAGTTAGGCATAGCTTTTCAAGAAAGTGCGTTCACACTATTTGTGGGGTAATTAACTACCCTTCACAAAGTGCCTAACTTCGTAAAAAAATATAGTACAGGCAAAGGTAAAAACACGACGCATTGAATTTGCAAGCGAGTTTTCCCCTTCTTTAAGGCACGAGTCGACTTAAACGTTGTAAATAACACGGTTGTGAATTGAACCAAAAATATACAAGTTAAATGGCTCAGCATTGCGCACACAGTACGTGTCGTGAGTACGGGGAGCACACTCACCGTGACCTGTGCGGCACTACACCAGAACATGCGCATGTTTGCTAAAGTTATATTGCAGCACTGTATTTTCGAGGTTACAAAAAAGAAAAACACCTTTTATATCACTGGCCTGTCACTGCCAGCCATGTTTATGGCGAAACCATTCAACGCACATCCGACCTGCGCGACGTGGCTGAGTAAGCGGCAAGCCTCTGCCCGCTCGAGGCGTGTACGTGGCTTTAAAGAGCACACACACACACACGATCACACGTGTATGGGGTGCGCACAGACTGGATGGCGATGCAATGTCGTACAGGCGCTACCAAGGTAGACGTTAACTCGACAAAAAAACCCGTGAGCGTCTCGCTGCTGGGTTGTGCTAATCAATTAGGACGACGACTCACGTGTCAGTGGTGGAAATTCTACATTCCTATGACGAGGTTAGTTTTGCCATAGGATGACCCCACTGTTGGAGTCACGCGAAGTGATACCACACGCATCTTATCTGGCTGAGTGCCGGAGGTCGGCCCCAATCGCTTTGTCAACTTCACAACTTTACAATGTTGAGTTCAGAAGCTCTGTTACAGCGCCACTCTCCAGCCAGTTCAAGACAATAGTTTACGCAGCACGGTCATGCACGTTACAACTCTCACTAGAAGCTTAAGGCCCCATCATGACTTTCGTAGCTGGGAGGAAAAAATACAAATAAAAAAAAAGTCACCGCGACACAATTGCCTTGCTAACAATGACACACACTTTGCAAAATCCTAGATAATACATCAGGCTGCAACGTACTGGTTGAATGCGTTTTAACCCATAATTTTGACCATATCCACACACTCGTTTATACTAAACACAGCACTTCGACCACCAATTAATACAATGCACAGTCTTCAATTCAAGTACGCTCTACGCAATACAGAACATTGTGTAAACGCCTCAAAGTGACTTACGCTGTGCAGCAAAGCTTGGTTATGGCTTAAGGAGCGTGCGAATGGCTGGAGTGAGAAATGTCCGTGAGCCAAGCCTTGGTGTGTGTGTGTGACTCACGGCCACGACACTCCCCGTCGCCAGCCGCCAGGCAGGGCTTTTGTGCAAGCCACGCCTGGGTGGCGTGGACCGGTCTTACCTGTCCCTCCTGGCAGCTGGCATTCCTGTGGTCCTGCCTCGCTGCATGACCCGCCCGCCTTACCTCGGCTTAATTGAATGGCGCAATATTTGGTCCACGTCTCTTTTTAAATGTCTTCCATTTTAAAGTGCAGGACGGTCCAGATGTCTTGTGACACCCCCATCCCCAATTAATTGTTCCCTAACATTTGTTTCCTTTGCATATTCATTTGTGTTTTAAATAAACCTTAGTTTAATAAAAACATTAAGATTTAGAGAATGAAATGGGGGTCACAAGACATCTGGACCACCGTGTACAGTATTTAGTTGATTGTGCCACTCAAATGCATATAGAAATTAGTCAACAACCTCCACAACAACTCAATGTAAACATGACGGGGTGGGCTCCCAATTTGCGAATTGTACAAGACGCAATTGTGCTGGAATCTCCACCAGACTGATTTACACTCTTCGAATGTTTTTGAAACAGTGAACACACAGTATCCAATGTCCCAGATTTGCTAAGAATCACTTTCCAGTGATCACATTTGAATCTAGACGACTACAAACTCCTCGCTTTCTATTCTCACACTTGCTCTACGAG